AGACAGGGTCTTGCTGAGTTGTCCAGGCTGGGCTCAGACTTGTGATCTTCTTGCCTCATCTTCTTACAAGTGCTGGGATGACAGGCTCTGGGACCACCACACCCCACTGATAAATTCACATCTGACAGTGACGGTGGTTTTGTATTTATGGAGTTGATAGCTCAGTAAAAAAAATAAGGTGCTTTTTCTTTATGTATTTCTTTTAAGAATGGTAATTGGGAAGTGTTTTAAGTAAGTGTACCTGCAAAAGTAAAAAGAACTTGGAAGAGAAAGTGATTTGGGGTGAGGCGACAGAAACTCTTTAAAGGTAAGAGGTGTTCAAGATGGATAAGGTTTGGAGGTGCTTGAGTGGGCTCACCGCAAAGGCGCACAAAGGAGATCGCCTGGTGAGCTTTTTCCGAGTGGAATGTGGTGCTTTTTGGCAGTTACTGCTGATGAAGGTGTTGGCTGATCTATGCAGTGCCAGATTGAGTATTCCGGTGTTCTACTTACATGTGTTGGAAAGTTGATTCGGAGAAGAGTTTTAGTTTTTCTATCTGCCATTCCTCGGAACCTTTTAATGCTTTTATATTTTGCCCCTTTGGTGTTTATCGGCAGCCTGTGATTTTTGCTTTTATTTGCTACTCAGTTATGATCTCCCCACTACTCTCTCTGTCTTTGATAATTATAGTTTCTTTATTCCCCCTAGTTGTTCCTCAGTTTCCTATAAAGAGTCTCAAAGCCCTTTTTTCTTTTTGGATTTCTTTTTTTCATTCTTTTTAGTACATATTTGCAGCACACGATGATCACATTCATGGCAGGAATTGGTACGTACACTTACAGTTCAGTTCCCTGCTTCTCCCTTCCCTCTGCCTCCTGTCATTTTTCCAGCATGGATTCCTTTGTCTCGGAGGCTTCATAATTATTAGATACACACAGTAAACACCAGACTAGATCAAAGAACATATAGAAGACATAAGGCAGTTGTAGCAAGTTTTATAGTACCCTTTTAGATGCATTGTCCTAAGTTACAATACTTTCTTTCTCTTTTTCTCTGTTGTCATATCTATTATGGGTATAACATATGGAGTTTTTCAAGTAAGAAACCTTTAAGTTTATGTGCCTGAGTTACTTAGCATAGTCTCAGGGTGCATTCGTTTTCATACAAATGACTCAAGTTTATCTTTATGGCAGAGCACTGCTCCATCGCGTGTAAATACCACACTTCAATCCGTCCGTCTGTCGATGGACGTTTAACTGTTGTGAATTGTGCTGCTACAAACATGAGTATGCACACATCACTGGGTCTTTAACTCTTGGTTAGATACCTAGAAAGGGGAATGGCTGGGTCAGATGGGATTTCTTTTAGTTTTTTGAGGAACCTCCATACTGATTTTTTTCCATACTAGCTGTGTCAGTTTGTACTCCTCAGTAGTGGTGGTGAGGAGTTCTTTTCTCCCTGCAACCCTCCAGCACTTGTGATCTCTCTCTCTCTCTCTGTCTTTCTCTCTCCCTCTCTCTCTCTCTGAGGTGAGACCTCACTATAGTTCACGTTGGCCTTGAACTCCTAGTTGAGCTTTGAACTTGTGATGACCTCTTGCCTCAGCTTCTAAGTACTGAGAGGACAGGTATGCACCACTACACCCAGCTGTTGGTTGATTTCCTGATGGTAGCCACTCTTTCTGGAGTGAGGTGGAGTCCCATTTGATTTCTCAGCAATATTGAGCCTCTTTTCATATATTTATTGCCCATGTGTATTGCTTCATCTGAGAAGTATACATTTCAGATGCTCATTTTTTTCCATCTGTCTATATTGGGGGGATGGGCTAGGTTTTTTGTTTTTTAGTTCTTTATATATTTTAGATACTCGTTTTTTTGTCTGAGGAGTAGCTAGCAAAATTTTTCTCATCCTGTAGGTTATTGTCTCTTTGCTGCACATAAAGCTCTTATTTCAAAATTATTTGGTGCTGCCAACCTCTATAGAAAGCACAGAGGAACTGAAGAGATTGTTGAAAATCAGCCTCCGTCTGCGTGCCCAGCAGTCAGTGCTAGGAGCCCAGATGCCTTATACTAGTTGTTCTCAAGGCGGCAGCAGCTGCAGCACCCAGGAACCTAACTAAAAACACAAGATTGCGGGCATTGCCACACATCTACTGAATGAGAAACAAAGGCTAAGCCCTCGTGGTCCTGTCCTCCAGCTGACTCCAGAGCCAGTAAACTGCCCCACTGTGCAAGTTCCGGGCAGGCAGATTGGCCCAGCGTGTCACATATGGCTCTTCCTGGTCTTTGATCGAGGAAAGGTTTTGAGTGAATGAATGAATGAGAGCTAGACTTTCTGTAACTGACTCTAGGAACATTGAGCCACGTGTCCTCTGTGGAGTGGACAGGGACTGGCTCCACCCTAGCACTGAGGGCTAAATGTTCAGTGTCCCGTGACTGAAGGGGGCAGACCCAGAGTTTTAATTCAGGCAACTTAGCTGTCCACCTGATCTTTGGGTTGGGGCTTAGGGAGACCGTGCCTGAACATAGCTCTCAGTACAATTAGGTCTGATTTTCTTGATGTTGGTCTGTTTTTTAAAGCATGAAACAAGGTTTGTGTCCATGGTAGGTTTGAAAGTTTCCAAGTACTCTACTGCATAAAACTGAGCAGTAATAGGCATGTGTGTGAGGTCCAGTGTGACAGGTCAGTACAGGTTTATAGTATGCAATAGCCAGGTCAGGTGTAATTATACTATTTAGGTGGCCTTTTATTTGCATAGGACGTTCTTCATTTTAACTTTTTCAGCAAACATTTTTTATTAAGATAACTTTTCTAAAACAAAAATAGAGAGTGGCAGAGCTGTGCATTTTACATCTTCAGTGTTCCGCCTGGGGCATGGGCTGCCCTCTGGGTTGCCCGGGCCTCCTCAGGCATTGCTGCAGCCGGGTGCTGGTTTTCAGAGCCTCTGCAGATCAGCGTGCATTGTGAGCTCTGATACTGTGGCAAAACGCAGCTGGTGGCAGTTGTGTTCGGTTTGTTTATTCTGGGATAACAGGCTTCAGTTTAAACTTGAATGTGTAATGAAGCATTCTATGGTGTTCCAGGCTTTGACAAAACTGATAAATGAAAATTCAAATATTCATTCATGACATAAACATGTTGTCAGGGTTCATGATGTAGTAAAATCATTTCACCTAAAAACTTGGTATACTTCTCAGTAACAGTATCTGAAAACACATCTTTTTAGGTATTTTTTTGAGAAGTGAAGACAAAAATTTGATGCACTATACAAGGTGTTTCTGTTAATATAGAGTAATGAAACCGTACACAGTCTTTCTGGCCTTCCCATTATGTTACATTTAATAATAATTAGTCCTTTCATCTGTTTTCCACAGCTACCCATTTCTAATAGACATTTTTGCTGATGTTCAACAATACTTTTTATGCATGTGTACAAGTGAACACAAAAATATTTTAAGTTCCTTTTAATGCCAGTAGTAGAATGTTACATCCACTGTTACTATGTCTCTGTCTTTTGCACTTAATGTGTGCCTTAGAGATGTCTCTACATTACCGTATACAGACAGCTTCCTCTTTTGCTTTCCCACAGTATTATATTTGACCTTATGAATGAAACAAATCTATTTACAGCCAGTCCTCTAATAATATTTTATTTAGTTGTTTGCAGTCTATTGCTGTTACACACATTGAGGCAACAAATAACCTTGTGCATACATCATTTTACGTGCTGCCTACCTATCTGCAGGACAGATGTGTAGAAATACAGTGCCTGGGCTGACAGGTTGTGGGCCAGATTTCCCTTCCTGAGGGGTTATGCTGATGTTCTTTCTCAGCAGTGTTGTATAGTATACCTTCTCCGCAAGTTTAACTTTTGGATACAACCCCCAGCATCTGTATGTATTTTGCAGGAGAAAGCATCTTACATGTGAGAAATTTTACTGTGTCATTGTGCCTTGCAGAACAAGATTCTAATAAGTCTTTTCATCTTAAAAAAATGCATTCCTATTTTAGATCTCTAAAATTATAATAAATTTAGCAGTTAAAAAAGTTGACCATTCTATAAGCGTCTTTATAAAACTATTTCAAGTGCTTTGTGTTAAAACATATCGTAATAGTAGTTAAGGCAAGATTCTTGTATTGAAATTCTGACTTTAAAAATACAGACCTAACATTCTTAGTTCTTAGATGCTAATGCATCACAACATAAAATAAAAAATTTCATCCCATTTGTATCTAATAATTTGTTGAATAGTAGAAACAAAATGCTTTGCATATGTCTAAGTCTGAAAGAAAGTTGCCTCCTTTGAAATTAAATTTTAGCAGTGTGGTTGAGTAGAAATTAAACAATTCACAATGCCGACTTTCAGTTCTTCTGAAAGCAGGAAGTGTATTACTGACACACAGAAATATTCCAGCCCAAAGAACATCCCTAATGCCATATGTGGTAAGAATTTGTCAGTAACCCACAAACCACTTCTGTAATGCAGTGAATAAGCAGAATTGGTCTTTGTTGAACATTTCCAATCTAATATGAAAGAACCTTGTTTTGCAGTGTCTTACAAGTAATTAATAGGTTATGGCTTGGGGAGAGCCTGGCACATCATGGGTGCTCATGGTTTATTGAGAGAAGGAATAAAGAAACCTGTGCACAATTCTTTTGGGTATAACTTTAAAACTTGCTTAGGTTATTGAGACTCTTAGTTAAAACAGAAGTTACCTGACTACATTAAAGAGTGATTTAAATATCCCGATTCAGCTTATTGCATCTTTAAATAAAAGTACTTACTTTTATTCTAGTTGTTCTCTTCACTACCGCTCATTCGCAATATATATTAATCTTATGTTTGCACTTATGCTAAGAAAATTATCTTTTTGGTTAATTAGTAAGGTGGGAAAAGTAAGAGCAAGAAGCAAATTAGTTACGAGGAAGTGGGTCAGCAGATGTGATGAGCTGTTTGAGAATCATTAACCTTTTAACCGTGTTTCTCTAAATGTGAATTTTATTTTCTTGTATTTTAAGCGATTAAGAAGATTGTCTACCAAATATAGGACAGAAAAGATATACCCCACAGCCACTGGAGAGAAAGAAGAAAATGTTAAAAAGAACAGATATAAGGACATACTGCCATGTAAGTTTGAATTGCCCTTCATGGAACAACTAGAAATGCAATTAGCCCTTTGTCACCTAACTCCCTTTGACCTTCCTGAGTTTGACTGTTACAGAGGTGGTAATTAACCTCTTTTTCAAGGTACACTGCAACATAATAATTGGTAATTTTGCTCCTCACTTTTCCTTTTGATAGTAATTTTGGTTCGTGTGTAGTTTTAACTATATCAGAGTTGCTCTCATAATAAATTGTTTTAAATACCAAAATTCCAAATGAGAGTGTCTTTTAAAGATCCTGTTCAGAAAAGCTAATTTATTAAAAAATTGTAAAGTGCTAAAATTACCGATTTATGGTACCTGTTCACAGTAAGCACCTTAGATGACCTCTCACCTCCGGCACATGTGCTTGGGAAGCAAAGCCTTGAGAGGAACTCCGGGGGCTTCTTCCACTGCCAGATCCAGTGGTCTCCCAGCGTTCACGCCTTTCTTTAGGCATTTTGACACCCTTCGCCAGTCTGTGAAATTCTCCTCTCCCACGCGCTCGCTCTCTTCTCACCGTCGCCTCCCTCTCTTTCCTTCCCTCTGGTCCTCGCTGGTTCCATTACCTTCATTTCCCTCTTTTTTCTGCAGCACCTAGGATTGACCACAGTGCTGGCTCACGCTAGCAAGTGCACTACCACTGAGCTGCGTCCCTGCCCCCTTTGAAACTTGGAAACGGGGTCTTGGTCCATTGCCTAGGCTGGTCTCAGGTTGAGTTCCTCCTGCTTCGGCTCCCCGAGGAGCTGGAATTGTGTGTAGGTACCAGCGAGCCTGGCTGATCCTTTGTCTCTCGGTATGGAGTGTGTTAGCAGCGGCGTGGGGTGCCCATGAAGAGCTCTGGCTGGAAGGGCCAGTCCTCGCCAGCTGTGAGACACTGGTTTCACCCCCTCCGTGTCTGCGTCTCCTCACCTGTACATTGAAGACAGTCATAATAGTTTGAGGATAATTTTTAGGGTTAACCTAATACTAACCCCACTCGTTAAGCTTTAACAAAACACGTCCCATTTTCCTTACTGGTTGCTTTGTGTTTTAGTCTATTCAGGCTGCTATGATAAAACAGTACCATAAACTGCATGGCTTTTGAACAAAAAAAATGTTTCTTACAGTGCTGGAGCCTGGCAGGTGCCATGGTGTGGCACAAGCAGCCTGGTGCCTGGTCAGGGCTGGCCCTCCTGGGTGCTCCCAGTGGCAGGGCAGGCGAGCTCCCTGGGCCTGTGTGAGGACACCTCTGTGAGGGCCTCCTAAAGCCCTAACTCTTGTACTGTGGCAGAGGCTTGGCACTGGCAGCAATTGGGGAGAATTGTGGGCATTAGGACTGTGGTACAGGGGCTGCCGTGGTTTCTGGTCACTTACTGAGGGAGCAAGGTCATCTAGTGGTGGTGTTCTCTACGATTGATGCGCATGCTCAGAGAGACCGCTGCTTTTTCTGTCATCTAGGGGACTCTTACGTAGCTTCAGGTTTCTGTTTTATAGTATTGCTTCATTCATTTTAATTAATTTTTACAAAAATGTTTTGAGTATATACTATGTGCAGAAAACAAAACTGGCAAGAAATCCCTGCCCTCATAATTTGTGTTCTAGTCTTGGTAGTATATAACAAACACAAATTAACATACATAGTCCATTTAGATGATGATTCGTGCTATTGAGAATAATAGAGCAGGAGCCAGGGACCTGGGGAAAGTTGGGAATAGAGGAAGAACAGTTTTGAATAAGGGAAAGATTAGTGATGGGCTGTTAAATTGGCCCCTGAAAAGTAAAAGTGCTGATCTACAGTGTTTACTGATTTCTGGATAAATGGATTTTTGTGGTAATCATCACAACAGAATTGTGAGATAGGTACATGCCATTTTACAGGCGGGAAATCGAGATGCAAAGATTAAATGGTTTATCACGGTGTTAATAGTTTGGGGTAGAATTTAAGTGAAGGCGATTGACACACAAAACAGGGATTCTCGGAGAGATTTTCCTCTGAGAGGACGTTCAGCAGTGTCTGCAGACAGGTTGATTGTCTCTCTGGGGTTTAGAGGTGTGGGCAGAGTCAGGCATCCTGCTGTTCATCCTGCAGTGTACCAGATGCAGCCTACCCACCTTAGAGTGAGCGAGGCTGAGGAGCTGCGTGGCCTGCCCTGCAGCAGCGATGGTGAACCTTGCAGGGCTGCGGTGGTAACCAGCAGCCAGCTGCTGCTCAGAGCTCTGCACTGTTGGCCTAGGGTCAAAGTGACAGCCTTTTTTCCTTTAGAATATTTAAGATTTGAGATGTTGATTTGCAGTAAACTTCTTATTTTGATTTGGAAAATCACATTCAAAGAAATTATATGCCCAGATACATATTTACTTACTGTTAGAAATAATTTATCAGTTTCATTTGAATGTTTTAATATATCCAATTAAATATTACCTTTTAATACTTTGAGATCTGATTTACTTATTTTGTATATACAATTCCTTAGCTTTTTTTTTTTTTTAAAGTAAATTTGTAGAGTTGTAAAGCAGTTAGCATAATCCATTGTCAGGACAGTCCAAAACTCCCAGAAGATTTGTGGTCAACACCAGCAGTTGCTAATCTGCTGTTCCTATGGGTTCTTGTTTTCTGAAATGGAATACAGACATAATCATATAATATGTGGACCATAGTGCCTGACTTCTTTCACTTAGCGCATTTTGGAGATCCATTTGTGGTGGGTGTATCAGTGGTTCGTTCCTTTTTGCTGTTGAGAAATAGTTCATTGTATGAATGTAACTATTCACCAGGTGATAAACATTCTGAACAGTGCTGCCGCATTTCCACATGCACGTGTGTGAGTTTTTATTTATCTTAGGCACTGGGAATAAAATTGTTGGGGCTTTAGGAGCTTGCAGTCCACCTTGTAAGAAGTTGTAGAATTGTATTTCGTAGCGGCTGCTCCATTTTTATGTCTCAGCAGTGCTGGCAGGGGCCCAGTTCTGTCACGTCCCCATCGTAATGTACTCTGTCGGGTTTCCATCGGTGTCTTTGTCTGAGGCTGCTGCTCACTCTTGTCCAGACTGATCTGGAGCTCCTGCCTCAAGTGTTCCTGCACACCAGCTGGGCCACTGTGGGCCCAGTGTGCTGGCTTCGGAGGCTTTGGCTGTTGTTATTTAGAGGTTCTCCTTATGGTTCTTACTCACACCTATTCTTGTGCTATTAGCCGTTCATATTTCTTTGGTGAAGTCTTCAAATCATTTGTACATTAAAAAATTGTTTTCAAATCTAGCAAATGGACATCATGGCGCACCTGTGAGCCCAGCTATTGGGAAAGAAGGCTGAGGCGTGGAGCCTGGCGAGCTGGAGGCCAGCCTGGGCAATGCCATTAAATGCGGTCTTTCAGTGGAAAGGGCTGGGAAACACAGCTCTGTGTAAAGCACTTCTGGGTCCCCAGGACCATACCAAAGAGAAAACAGTTTTACTGAGTTGTAGGAGTTCTATCTTTAGCCTGCCAAAGCCAAGCTATCCTTTCAGATGATGAATCTGGATACTGTGCCTATTCCAGTGTTAATTACATTCTTTATTTCTCAGAGCTAAGGTTTAGTTAATAGGTCTGTTTTTGTAGAGGTGGTTGTGTGTGTCTTTTCTTCTTGTCTCCTGTTGTTAATGTTTGTTTAGGGTGGGCGGGGGGGTGCTGTTTTACGAAACTCTCGTATGGCCAGTATTGATTTATCTTTTTAGTTTTGGTCTCTCAAGAGATTATAGAGGCAGTCAGCAAAATTATGGAAAGGAAATTACTTTTATTTCTTACTGTCTTAGTTACTTTTTACTCGTCACTGAGACAAAATAGCTGATGCCCAACGTTGGGAAAGGAAAGGTTTATTTCTTACAGTTTTTGGAGGTTTCAGTCCATACTCAGTTGGCTCCAAGGCAGGCTGGCATGGCAGGGCCGCAGTTCATGGTGGTTGCAAACAGCAAGGCAGAAAACCGGCAAAAGAGCAAGACACGCCTTCTTCTTGTCTTTACATCACATCCTGGCTCCACCCCTTTGTGGGTGGAGCACTGACACTATCAATCCAAGCACTACACAATAAACCAGTCACAAATGCACATTGCAAACTCATGAGGCCTGGGGGACAAGACATAAACCATGACACTTACATAGATTCTTTATGCTTAATAAGGACAGCGGTGCAAACATGCAAAATGTAGATGTGTGGATTTTTGTTATATGACCAAAGTAGTACTAATTTGGGGATTCTTTTTTTTTTTTTTTTTTTGTCTTTTTCCTTTTTATCGGTACCGGGGATTGAACTCACAACTGCCTGCTTGCAAGGCAGGCGCTTATGCCGCTGAGCTAAATCCCCAGCCCCCTGATTTGGGGATTCTTGTTAAAATATTGTGCTCTTGTGAGAAAAAACTCTTAGGGCTACTGTATTTGTTTATGCTTTACAGTATAAATGGAAGTTTTAAATCAGAACTTACTGAATCAAACTTAATATACAATATAGAATGCTATTTTAATTTGCTTTCCTATTCGTCACCTGTTGAGTTGGCAGTAGATAAAAGAAGAATGGCCAGAAACATTAATTATTGAAGCTGAGCGATAGATACACGAGGGTTCTTATAAGTTCTATTTTGGGTATGCTTAAATTTTTAATCTTAGCAAACTTTAAAATAAAAAAAAGAAAGAAAGAAATTCCCCGCCTGCTTACAGCCAGCCTGGCATTTGGGAATCACAGTTCTCATTGGGATTCCTGACACCAGAAACATTTGTAGTGAACCCTTTGGTAAAGCTTCTACTGTACTCTGCTTTGAAATACTTTGAATAGAGCCTGATAGAGGAGGTAATTGGGATGGTTTTTACTGGCACACATGGCAGGAAAAAGATTTGTATGGTTATTTAACCATTGTTAGCATCAGTCTTTTTTTTTTATTTAAGGAGAAAAAAAAAACAGAAAAAGGGTACAAGTAATACAAAATTTAAAAAGATAAACAGTAAGAAATCACTAGTTAATAGATTACATATTCTCATCTTAGAAATAGTTATTCAAGTTACAAAATTGAAGCATATAAAGTGGACTTTCAAACAGTCAAATAGTTTTGATCAATGATCCAAAAAAAACTCAGTAATATGGTTATCTATCTTATACACTTAAACATATATGCAGTTATAACCTTTAGAGTACTTTCTTTTCTTTTCTTTTGTACAATGACAATTACACATTTTGGGTTTTATTACTCCCACAGTTCTTACTACTTTTTTTGAAGAGAGTAAAACCAAATGCGACATATCAGAACAGAGTCAAATCAAAGGGATGGACATAATAGATAATGTAAAAACAAAATACAAGGTGATCAACAATGGTTACCATACTGCCTCTTGCTATTTTAAGAACTTCCAGTTATAATAAAATTGAACAAAACAGTAAAGAATAAAACCAAAGCATTGGAGACATTACAGGACTTTAAAAGAAGATAATAGTCAACCTGAATGGGCGTCATAATGAATCTTACTGTCTTCACAGTTTTGCCTATACTTTGGAACTTGGTACGATCAAGCAAAGCAGAATAGGGGAAAATCAGTCAAAACAAGATGGTGAGGGCAATGCAGGATTTCAAATCAAGTTAATAGGAAATGAAAGGTTACTATAATGTATCCTGCTATTTTTTTAATTTATTTTTTCCTTAATTAAAAAGATAAGAAAAAAGTAAATAATTTTTTAAAAAGGGGGGGGGGATTGAGATAAAAGAGGGCATAACAACAGAACAGCGTAGGTCAAAACATAACCATTTAAGCAAAATAGTGTTTCACCACAAGATATCCTGACATAAAATAGTTACCATAGTGTCTCTTTCCTTGAAATCTTTGAGTATAACTTCGTATACTGTAGCACTAAACATATCAAGACACTATAAAACCATTCAAAAGAATGACATTATTACAGGGTATTTAGAACCAATTAACAGAAAATGAACTTGTCTATAAAAGTTTTTACTTATCATATATAATAAAATCCAACAAGATACAACCTTTTAAGACTGATGGAGACAGAAGAATACAAGTTTGATGGGACTTCAAAACAAAATGATACTAAGTCAGCACTAGCTATTATGATGTCTTGTTTTCTCCAAAATAGCTGTTCCTACCGTCTGATCTTCTCTGCCTCACTTCTGTTGAGCTCTTTTTCTGTCATTTGTTGTCAGTTTGTCTTCTTCATTTTGCTTTCTGCTCCATTCATTGTGGCCTCTGCCACTATTTCTGGAATCTTGGTATTTTCCTTTTTTTAGACTATCCTGCAGTATTCTCTGTAGAGTTGAATTAGTGGTTGCAAATTCCCCTAGTTCCTCTTTATCCTGGAAGCACTTTGTTTTTCCATCAATTTCTAGGGACAGTTGTGCAGGATATATCAATCTTGGCTGGAGGTTATTGTCTTTCAAAGCTTGAATTATTTCCCCCCATGTTCTTCATGATTTGATGGTTTGTGTCGAGAAGTCTGCTGTTATTCTGATGGGCCTTCCTCTATGGTTATCTGTTTCTTGTCTCTGACGGCTTTTAATATTCTTTTCTTATATTGTATTTCTGGAATTTTGATTATTATATGCCTGGGTGTAGCTCTGTTTGGGTTGTTGGTGGCTGGGGTCCTGTATGCCCCTAGGTACATCTGAGTATCTTTACCATTTGCTAAATTAGGGAAATTCTCTTAGATTATTTCTGTGAATAGCTTTTGTAGTCCATTTGTTTGTGTCCCTACTTCTTTTATGTTCTTAATTCTTTTTTTTTTTTTGGTCTTTTTTCCTTTTTATCGGTACCGGGGATCGAACTCACGACTGCCTGCTTGCAAGGCAGGCGCTTACGCCGCTGAGCTAAACTCCCAGCCCCCTGTTCTTAATTCTTAAGTTGTAGATCCTCTTATCATCTTCTAGCCTTTGTATTGTTGCTGTTTGTTTTTGGTTATTTTTAAGAAGTTTTTCATTTCATGCTCCCACATTATAAATCTGCCCTCCAGTTCTGATAATCCTTCCTTAGTTTCTTTCAAGCTGTTATGCCAGCTTTCAATAGAGTTTTTAGTTTCCTGGTAATCTCTTTGAACCTGCTTTACGTATTCTATGTTTTCTCTATTTTTTCCATCAATCAATTCTCCCCTTTTATTCTGTTCCTCCATTCCACCATCTGTTTTTTCCTGGACGGTGTTTAGCATTTCTCTAACTATTTTACTTATATCTTGCTTCAGGTTGTTAATAACTTCATTCCTGAACTCGTCTATGAGGCTCTAGAGATAGCGCTTTATGTCTGTTGGTGCCATATCTGATATTGCAGGTTTCTCAGGATTGAGGGCCGAGGATCCATTCTTCTTGCTCCCTCTTCCCATATTTTTTGTTCCTTTTATACAAGTGAATATAGGAGGTCCAGTTTCTTTCTTTGTCGGTTACAGTTTGTTTGAATTGCGCTGACTAGGTGTTCCCGCCCACTGCAGTGTACTAGGTAGACAGAGACCTGGGCAGCCTCTGCTGGGCCCACCCTTCCAGGTCAACCTACTGAAGGCTTCACTGCTAGGGTGCACCTCCAGGCGCTGGGATCTGGTTTGGGCTAGCCTACTGGGTCTTAGTGGCATCACACAGGCCAGGCACTGCCTCCCAATCCCACTTGAGAGGGGAATATGTGACTGAAGTCACTGCAACAACCTGTTCCGGCTAGTCTGCCTGGTCCCAGTAGGTCCTTTGCTGAAGCCTCCTACTCTAATGGAAGGGTCCCCAATCCGCTCACTCACCGCAGGTCGATGCAGGGTTCCTGGGCAGTCCTGCTCTCAACTCCATTCACCACTTCCCACTCTCAGAGCTTTTGCGCCTCTCGCCTTGCTGCGCTGATTGGGACGCAGCAGCGGCACAGGAAATTCAAATCGCAGCTTCCAGTGGCACGGGGTCCAGCTTCCGCGCTGAGATCTTATCTGTTCCTGTTATATCACTGGGATTGTGTTTCCAATTGGTTTCTCTTAGTTTAGTTTGTTCCTGGGTCAGCAAAGTATATCTCCCCTTGCTTAGGATTTCTTGCCCGGCACCATTCCTGGATTTTAAGTGTGGTTTCTCAGAGAGCCTCCGAAGCTGCTGCTGTCTATCCGCCGTGTTCTCCCCGAAGTCTGTTAGCATCAGTCTTAACAGCTGAATAGTCTCATTTACCAGAAGCAGCTTTTTTTTTTTTTTTTTTAAGGTCCGTACATTTCTTAAACCAAATGCCATAGAAAGAGGGGAGGATATGTAGAATGAAGGAAATAAGTTGGCAAAGAATTGATAAACATTTTCTTTCTTGGAAACATGAGATGCATAATTTTTATCGCAGGCCTAGTGTGTCTTGTATGTCTCTTCCTATACTTAATAGTTAAAATTTCATCAAAAGTAAATACGTTAATCAGCAAGGCTGGACCTTAGTGCTGCTCTGTGTGCAATTTGGACCAAGGGAAAGTAATTTATAGGATGTATTGTCCTTTTGAGAGTTGTCTAAAGCTGGGGTGTAGCTCTGTGGTGGAGCATTTGCCTGGGTGTGTGAGGTCTTCAGTTTGACCCCTTGCACTGAGGCAAGAGGATGGCAGGTTTGAGGTCAGCCTGGCAGCATAGCAGGACCTTGTGTCAAACAGAGCAGCAATGGCTGAGGACGTGGCCCATGGCAGAGCATATACCTGGCATGCACGAGGCCCGGTACTCAGGGCCTAGTACCACAAGAAAAAAATAAATATTCTGCTTATCTTTGTAACCTTACTTGGAGTGCTAGCCTGACATAATTAATGTTGTTTTTTCTTTGTCTCGTAGTTGATCACAGCAGAGTTAAGTTGACTTTAAAGACTCCTTCCCAAGATTCAGACTATATCAATGCAAATTTTATTAAGGTATGTATTACCTTTAAGGGACTTTTTTGTACTCTTAGCAGCTTCTTATATACCAGTTTTAGTAAAGCTTTTTAAATTGCCCAAACACGGTCTCAACAGCAAGAAGAACAGCAGATGACTGCTGCCCTCAGTTTCGCGTGCCTCCTCCCAGCCTCCGTGCTCCTGCAGATGGACGGCTTGTGCTTAGCTTACGATTGCACAGACGCTCTCCTGTTTGTCTCTTCCTTTTCATTGAAGGCCTGTAGATACTCGCTGTTACAACCTCATCTTCTAGGTGACCTCAAATTTAGGACCATGAACAGACATAGTCACACCCTGTTGTTGAACCATGTAGCTTATTTTCATTTTTAAGGAAAACAGTTATCACAGAAAAATATTTGTTCTTTTGAGTAATTTTACAGGATTGATGAGTAGGACTGGCTTTACTGGGAAATACCGATTTAAAATGATAGGACATAACAGACTTGAAAATTGTTACTACTGTACTTCAAGTAACACTGAAATTTAAATACAGGTTTTGTTTTTTTGAAATAAGGTCTCACTATGTAGTCCAGACAGGCCTTAAACTCATTATGTAGCCCAGGATGGCCTTAAATTCCTGCACTAGCAGTCCTCCTGCCTCAGTTTCCCAAGTACTTGGATTGCAGGCATGCACCACCATACTTGGCTTTAAATACAGTTTTTGGGAAATAACTTTGGTTACCCTTAACCAAAGTAGGCAAGCTCTTATATAGTTATCAATAGAAAATGACACTGAAAAGTACATTTGTTTGAGCTAAACAAAAGGCACTAATTTCTTCTGTAAGTTCTTTGATTTTTTTAATCTAATTATACAATAGTATTATTTTAAGTTATATTTGGTATTTAAGCATTGCAAAGTTTCTGGCAGTGTTGAAAAAATTGTTGGGTAATAATAGTTTATATGTTTAAATAAAGCAAGTATTGTCTTCAGCAATATTGAACAGTCACGGTTACAAAGTTTTTTTTTAAGTACAGTTTATTACAGTTGCACTAAAAGCCAAAATTAATAAATTAAACCAAAACTACTAGGTAAGTAATTCACTATTTTAGGTGTTGTCAACATTCACATTCTTTCATAAGGACATGTGTTACAAGTTCTAGTTATTAATTGTGCTTAACGCCACTGACTCATTCCGTGACTCCTCTACAGCAGTGTTTATTTTAGTCAGTGGTCCTGTTGAGTCTATTCTTGGGTTTGTTATTTAAAAGCTTCATAGTAGGAGTTCAGTGCTCTTACAGTTGAATAGACAGATAATTAAGGGAGCCTTGGAGGAAAGTCACTAAGAAGAAGCTGTTAACTGGTTGTAATACTCGTTTTAGAATCAGAGCATGCTTCTTTTGTATTTCTGCTCTGGTTAACCTTGTTGACTAGGTACTAGGGATTGGGGTTCTTGTTTTAAACTCTTAAGTAAGATTTCTCAATAGTGTAAAGATGCCCTTAAATATGAATTTGTTAACATAGCTAATACTCACAAAAGAATAGTAGCAGTTACCAAAAGCTGCAGTAAATTGATGTATTTATGTCATGGTTTTATGTAGTATGAAGAAAAATTATTTCAGAATGCTTTAGGTAAAAGCACTAGTACTGATAAAATTTGAAATGTTAAAATTTAGGTGGCAGATATTTTGGTAATCATTACAAATGTGAAATTGACTTTTAACCATTTTAGGGTGTCTATGGGCCAAAAGCGTATGTGGCAACCCAAGGACCGTTAGCAAATACGGTAATAGACTTTTGGAGGATGATATGGGAGTACAACGTTGTAGTAAGTATTTCACTTTTCATAATATATTTTGAGAAGTTTTATGTAATGACGTAGGGTGTTTTACTGAATAAGAAAGGAGAGGACATTTTAGCCCCGACGCTGTTTACTTATTGCTGACTGTCTTAGTTAGCTTTTTACTCGTCACTGAGACAGAATACCTGAAGCCCAAGTTGGGAAAGGAAAGGTTTATTTCTTACAGTTTTTGGAGGTTTCAGTCCCCACTCAGTTGGCTCTAAGGCAAGCGGGCATGGCTGGGCCGCCCTTCATGGCAGCTGCAAACAGCAAGCAGGAACCAGCAAAGAGCAAGACACACCTTCTTCCTGCCATTACATCGCATCTTGGTTCCACCCCTAAGTGGGTGGGGCACTGACACCATCAATCCAAGCGCTTAGACAATGAAGCATCACAAATGCACAATGCAAACTTATGAGGCCTGGGGGCCACAGACATAAACCATGACACTGACGTTTACAAAATTGGCAAAACTGGTTTTTTGGGTGTGTCATTAAATGATGACAAACTACTATTGGAAGAAGAGAGTGTGGTAGGAATGTAAACCTTGCCCTAAGTAGCTAACTGATGAGACAGCCACCAGATAACTTTGAAGAGGCAGGAAATAGTGTTTTCACCGGTCATTGAAAAGCTTGACAGTGCAGTTGCATCCTTCATGATTTTCTGGTCTCGGCCCCTTGCGGCGGGAGCGAGTACATAGCTATAAACTACCACACGACACGTGCGCCCGCCAGACCTCCGTTCAGAGCTTGTTTAGAGCTTATGGAGGAGCAGGCCTAGCGGTCCCTGCCCTCCTAGACAGAGGGAAGTCGTGTTCTGAGGTGTGGAAGCAAGGAAGTGGGGTACTGCAAAGAGCCGCCTGGTCCACTTTGTGCTCTTGGAACAAAGCACTTGCTTGCTGACAATGTTGGCTGTGTTGATACAGAAAATCAGAAGTGAGGAGCCCTCATTCCTCTTTTGGAAATACTGCAGTAGGTTTTTCTGTGGAAATCTAGTGAGTCTAAAAGTATGGTAATTCTATGTTTAAAAACAGTGTTAAATTTAACGTATTTAAACTTTAGACAACGTTATTAAATGTATTTTCTCATAATTAAATATTGACTAAAAAGTACTATTTCATTAGGTGTAAATATCCTAAAATGGAATTTTAGTATAAGTCAAAAGTCAAACTAAGCCACATTAATTGGAGTCAGTTACTTTATTGCTGTATAGTTTAGTCCTTGTTTAAAAGTTATGATTTTGTTATTAAAACTACTTTTTCAGACAGGCTAAGTGTACTTTTCTACAGGATAAAAGTAATTTCTGAGACTTCATATTTTAAGATTGTCTTGTGTGGACTGGGGATTTAGCTCAGCGGCATAAGCGCCTGCCTTGCAAGCATATAGTCATGAGTTCGATCCCTGGTACCAAAAAAAAGATTGTCTTGTGTTTGAATGATACAGTCTCTATTCTGCCCCTCCCCTTCCTTTCCAGATTATTGTAATGGCTTGCCGAGAATTTGAAATGGGCAGGGTATGTATATCTATTTATATTTTTTCATCTTTAGAGTTAGATTAATCTCTTTTATAGATAGCCTAAGCCCACCTAGTTAAAGTAGTTACTTTTTTGTGTTCTGCTGTTGCTTTTATATGATACAAAGAACAAAATAATCGCTAAAGCAAGTAATTTTTAAACATTTTCTAAGTATATTTTATGATTTTTATTTATTTATTTGGGCTTTTTGAGACAGGGTTTAGGCTGGCCTGGGGCTCACTTTGTAGCCCAGGCTGGTCTCGAACTTGCAACAATCCACCTACCTCAGCCTCCCAAGTGCTGGGATTACACAGATGTGCCACCACTCCCAGCTATTTTATAATACAGTTAAAATAATTTGGTATCACTACTTAGTAGTCTTAAAATATTTCAGAGTGTTATAAGTAGAACATCAATTACAGAATACAGTAGAGAATTATTTTTATTTTTTATTTATTTTGGGAAGGATACTGAGGATCAAACTTAAGACCTTGTGCTTGCCAGGCAGATGCTTGTGCTGCTGAGCTAAACCCCTGGCCCTAAAGTAGAGAACTATTTTTTAAAAAAGGAATAAAGTTAAACTTAAGTAAGAATGTCTCAAATACTCTTAATTCTCTTTATCATCAGTTTATAGGTCAAATATTTGATTATACCCTTATGAAAATACTAGTAACTTGTTTGTTTCTTCTGTCTTCAAAGCTTAGATATGAAATTCCTCACCTTGATTTTTTAATGTAATACTCTGTATAAATTAATTTTAAACTATCAAAAGCATGGTGTCATTTCTGAAGTCCTTTTAGGAAATGACATATTTATTTAAAACATAGATATTTAAAACTTCAAATGTGGTCTTCTATACATGCAGTACACAAATGTAAAATACAGATTACATAAGAGATTTTATTTGGCTTTCCTGTATGTGTGATTTGTTAGTAACCTAAAAATCATTTTTTAGAGGTAAAAATTCTTAAAGCTGTATTTCAGTAAGGGAGATGCTGAAAAAGGAAGTTGCCACATGTTTTACTCGTGTGGAATGTTAGGTAAATAATTGGGAAACATTTTAACATGGTTTCTGTTATTCCTCCTAAACTGCACTGTACTGTCAGTTAACATTGGACAGAAAATGAACAGTCTGAAATTAGAAAATATACTTTAACAATTAATTGAACAATAAAAACATTCAGATATAACTTCATTCAACTTCTATTTTCTTAAGTTACTGTTAAGGTTTAGGACTTTTTCTTCCATAATAAAAGCTCATATTATTTTTCAATGGTAATAACACCTGATGAAAACTTAAGTTATACTGAGTATAAAGTTTCTTGAAGCTGAAGGGTTCATGATTTTTGGTGTTTTTTTAGTACCAGTTGAGAATCTCCTGTGTGAAGTGAGGTGTGGTGGCACATGTACTTGGGCATCCGAGGCAGGAAGAGTGAACGTTTGAGCTCAGCTTGAGCAATTTAATGATTTAGCAAGACGCTGTCTGAGAGTTTACAAAGGGCTGGGTTGTGGCCCAGGACAAAGGCCGTGGGTTCAGTTACTGCTACCATCACGAAATAGGGAGGGAAGGAGGGACAGACAATGAGAACATCTCCTTCTTGTCCAAAACTTTGTGGGACCAGAAGTGTTAGAATTTGAGTTTTTCAGATGTGGGCTAATAATTGCCTAAACTTTACTGGTTGAGCAACCTATAAAATCTGAAACTCTTGACAGTGTGATGCTCAAAAAGCGGCCTTTAGGGCGTTTCAGGTTTCAGGCTTTTGATTAGCAGCTCTCACCTTTCTCGATTTTGAGTAAGGGGCTGTAATTTATCAGATGATCTCAACTTAGGATGTGACCTGTGGAAAGAGCAGAGACGAGGACCCAGGGAAATCTCCTCTCCCTCCGCGCCTTGACCATCTGCGGTCCGCGGTCGCAGCCCCAGGGTGCTGTCTGTCTCTACACGAACGTGCACCTTGCAGAGTGCCAGCTTATGCATCAGTGGTGTTGGCACCCACTTTCTGGTGTGGTGTTAGGGCTTCACACCACCAGGGCAGTTCAGTTACTGCTCCGCTGAGGGAGTGGCCTGTTAGCGCACAGCTTTCCATGCTTCCCGAAATCAGTCTTCCACAACTTGTTCTTTTTGCTCCAGAGTATTAAAACTTTACCAAAGAAAGGACCAAAATACAAAAATCAAAAACAAAACAATCGGGGCTGGGGATTTAGCTCAGCGGCATAAGTACCTGCCTTGCAAGCAGGCGGTCGTGAGTTCGATCCCCGGTACTGATAAAAATGAAAAAGACAAAAAAAAAAAAAAAATCCTCTAAATAATTTAATTTTATTGTTTTTCTTTAAACTATTGGGAAATGAGTTTTGGGAGATAAGCTGTGATTTTAGGAGTCTGGAATATTAGTGTTTAGTTTATTACCCTGTATTTGTGTGGTCAACTTACAGTTCATTCAGTTTAAAAGTGTAATAACTCACTTGCTATTTTTGGAGCTATGACAGTTTAATTTGAAGTTCATGCTGGGCATGGTGACATACCTATAAACCCAGCACTCAGGAGGCCGAGGCAGGAAAATAACCCAGTGGGAGGCCAGCCTGGGCTACAAAGTGAGTTAGGGCCAGCCAGAGCTGCATGGTGAGACCCTGTCTCAAAAAGACACTTCAAAAAAAACGAAGAGAAGAAATTGATTAGCTGCACTTAGGAGGAGGAAGAATTTCTGCTGTGCAGTTGTACAGTAGTGACTAGATAATAATGTACTATATATTTCAGAAAGCAAGAAGAAAAGATTTTACAATTTTGATCATAAATTGGTAAATGAGTCAGTGAGTCAGTGTTTAACTCATTTAAACGCTGCACATTGTACACATTTACTGAGGAATCACATTAACATGCACAGTTACGTTATTTACCAATTAAAGTTTAAAATTCATGAACTCATGCAGTGTCTACTACTAGAATGTGTATTTTAAGCTAGATGGTAAGTTATAAACTTCCATTTTGTTAGATCTTCATAAAAATTACATCATTTCCTGAAATCAGGAATCACCATGTGCTGTATCTTCTATAAAGTTAGGCTTTCCATTCACTTGCCTAGTTTTCCAAAGTCGAGGGATTGGTGTTAGAAATCAGTGAGTGTTGGGCTCTTTATCTACCAATTTAAAACAGAGACGGCAGAGGGAAACAAACTAGTTATACTTGTAAACTCAAATAAAATTGGACAGTTAAAATAATACATTGTGCTTATATAGGATTTGTTACATCACTAGAGTATTTGAAATATATTGTTAATTAGTACATTTGGGTTATTGTTCCTTTTTAAATAGTATTTTGGAGGCTTTTTTTATGCAATTCAGGGAGACCTTGAACTCACTGAGTAGCCCAGGCTGGCCTCAAACTCGAGATCCTCCTGCGTTATCCTCCCCACGTGCTGGGATTATAGGCTTGTGCCACCATGCTTGGCTTTGTTGTTCCTATTTTTACAGATAAAGAAGTTAGCAGGCAATAAAACAGTAAAACTGGTACCTGGTAGAATACCCGCTGTGTCTGGAATTTACATTTCACGGGGATTCAGTCAGGGCCCTGGAATTATTTGGGACCCCTGCCTCCTCAATGGGCCTAAATATGCTAGATGCTTGTTTAAGCATTTTTTCTTTTCTCAAGGGAGAACTTGCTTCTACTCTGTAGACAAACCAGGTAGCGCAAACAGTTCCCAGGCTGCTATTAGTAAAGTTTGCATAATGCACGTGGACTGGGCATGAGTTCAGCTTCAGTGACACTGGAGTGGGCTCTTCCCTCCTGGCTCCTTGCCTGCTGATGTCAGTAAAACACAAAATTTTACTTAATTACTTTTTTTTTTTGAAAACAGAAAAAATGTGAGCGCTATTGGCCTTTATATGGGGAAGACCCTATAACGTTTGCACCGTTTAAAATTTCTTGTGTAAGTACCTGTTTTTTATTATGTTGTTTAAAAACTAAATTGTAATGTGGTACAAACCCAAGTGGCTTATAACTCTATGTAAACCTACATTAATTAATAAATAGTAGTAATATTTATTTTATACTGCTTTTAAATTTAGGTGCTTTGGGACTTTTAATAAATGTATCACTTCCCTATTTCTGTTCAATTTTACCTTGGCCTTTGATGGTAATTATGTATACATGAGTAAACTGAGTAGCCAGTGCTTTGAGTGATCTATTTGGAAATAGGTATGTTTATTTCAAATCTGAAAAATGGGAAAGACTTTCTTGCTGAAACATAGCATTTATGTTAACCATCATACCTGTTATCTTCCCTGAAATTGTTCTAATTTTGTGAAAGTTTTACTTCTTGGCTGTAAATATTGATCTTTTATGGAAGATAATTTGGTAATGAAACTTAAAATGTATGTCTTATACTGTTTTTTTGTTGTTGTTGTTGGGTGTTTTGTTTTGTTTTGTTTTGTTTTGTCTTTTTGAGCCATGGTCTTTATACGCTGTTCAGGCTGACCTTGAGCTCACTTTGTGGTCCAGGCTGGTCTTGCAACAATCCTCCTGCCTCAGCCTCCCAAGTGCTGGGATTACAGGCGTGAGCCACCACACCTGGCTCAACATACACTTTCAATGATCTCTGGAAGTGAGTTAAATTCAAGCACAAAAACTTACGCGTTAGAGACCAGAGAAAATGAATTTAAAAACAAGAAAAAGAAGAGGGGCCAGGGGACAGACAAAAGTAATATGCTGATGAGCTGAAGAAAGGAATAATTTCTTTACTGCCAGATGATGCCATCTTTCTTGGTCCCTTGGATGACATATTTTATTTTTTCACATAAAAGACCATGATTGAGCATCCATGAAAATGAAATAATTCCCCTGCATAAGTGAAGACTCTCCAAAGAAGTAGAACTAGTGAGAGGCGTGTGTCGGGGCCCGTGTGGGAGTGAGGAATTGGCTCCCTGGAGCTATGGAGGCAGGCAGGTCCACACCCCACCAGCGGTGGGACCCGGCCATGCTGCGGTGGCAGGAAGGCCAGGAGCCGGCAGGCCCAGCGAGCTCCGTGGCAGCAGGTGCAGAACTGGGAAGGGCCAGTGCTGCGGCTGGGCACGGTGAGCTGGGTTCTGTCCTGCTTTGAGAGGCTGGGCCCTGGGTTGACTCAGACCAGCAGGTGATTGGACGCGGCCTATCCTCAGTGTAAAGGATGCTCTGCTCAAAGCCCCTGATCAGAGAGGTCCTCTGTGGAAGCACCCAGAGCCCTGTGCTCCCCAGCGCTCTGCAGCTTGGCCAACCTGATGCAGAGTTAGCTGCTGCATTCTCACCCCAGAGTTGCTTTTCCTCAGTCTTCTGTAGTTAAACAGAAACGCCTCCAGCCCAGTTTCATTCACTTCGGTTCAGGTTTGAGACAGGCTCTCTGGCTGTGTTTCCCGGGCTGTGCTAAAATGTGTGTTCCTCCTGCCTTGACCTCCCCGTGTGAGGGTTAGGTGTTAGGTACTAGATTGGCTTAAAGTTTGTTGATTGCCACTGCCTTTCTTAACTTGGGAAAAACAATAACCAATACGCACTACATTGTCTGCTTCAAGAGAGGAAAACCTGCCCTCTCACTAGCTGGGAAATTATTACCCAGTACATATTAGATTCCTGGACAGCCCGAGGAAGCAGCCTAGTTCTGCTGAACATTTGTAACTTTAAATGCAGTAAGAACAGTGTTGCAGAGGTCACAGTTAAGGGAAGACACAGTACTCAACAGCAAAACAGCTTGAAAGTTTTGCACATTCGGAAATCAGAAATAATACACAATCTGCAATAATAAATAGAGAAAAGGAAGTGACTTATAATCTGGAAAAAGATGAATTGACTTTTCAAGTGTTTTCCAGCTTAACTAAAAGCTAATTTTGGAAGTCTTCCTGAGAAGAGGTTTGATTGGATTAGCAGAAGCTTGTGTTCACGTCAGGATGGATCTCATGCTGAAGAAAACAATTTTCTTAGCCAATTTCAGAGCAGACCATAGCTTGTGTTCTTGTTTCAAACAACTTAGGATTCGTTTCTGCAGACTTTGCAGCAAACAGAGCACATTTGCAAGGATACTCAGGGAGTGGCTTGCTCTGGCGTGGGTGTGGGAGATGGCAGTCAGGGAGGTGCGAACTCGGGGCGGGGCTGCTGAGCTCAGTCCCAGGCGCCACCCCTGGGTCAGCGCCCATGGCCTGTCTTCTGCACGGGTTTACTGGGAAGCGACTGTGCTGGTTGACTCATTTGCCAGCCTCTCACAGCAGCAAAGATCTGCAGACAGAAGCTTTATGGTTCCAAAACCTAAAGCTATGTACTCTCTCACCCTTTGCATAAAAAGTTGCCTTAGTCTAGTGTTCTTCCCATACTTTTTCTTTTTTTTTGGTGCCAGGGATCGAACTCATGTCTGTGCATTTGCAAAGCAGGTGCTTATGCCGCTGAGCTAAATCTCCAGCCCCCACACTCCTTTTTGATAAAAGTAAAAACACCTTCCCCTTAGTGGGTATTTGAAAAGTACAACTAAGTAACTACAATTTTCTTAAAATCCATTTTATTAATAATGCACTGTTTTGACAATTGATGGTTATAACTAATAGGCAAAAAGAAGAATGTCTTACTGGCAAAGCGTTGCAGGCTTCATTCTACTTGTACTTAGGCTGAGTGACCGTAAGAGACTTCTGACGGCTGATGTTATCGACCACAGTGTTAACTTCTGTGGTTTTCTTCCCTCCTTCCCCAGTTGCCATCCATTTAACTGCATTAGGCAGGGACAGGGAAAGCAGGCATTCTGGAAAGATGAAGCAGCTGTCGCTGGGTACAGTGGCAGGTTTGGGAACGACATTCGGTGACGGGAATGGTCGCTGCTGCTTGACAGATGCTTTGTTACCTCATAGAGTCCTAAGTGATTGGTTACCAGACTCGTGTTTAAAAACTATAAGTAAAACTTAGATAAGCTGACAACTTGTAGAATGGCTATTCTTTTTTTCTTTCTTTCTTGTTTGCTATTGGAAATCAAACTTACAACTTTGTGCTTGTCAGGCAGGTGCTTACGCCACTGAACTAGATCCCCAGCCCTAGGATGACTCTTCTTATGACTACCAGGAATATCTTGATAGTTTTTGTTTTTGCTTTTGGTGGTCCTGGGGCCTGTGCCCAGGACCTCATACGTACTGGGCAAACACTCAACCCCTAAACTTTGTACCCACTTATAAATCAGAAATTTTAATTTTATATTATGGACCTCAAGTATTTTGTTCCAATATGTGTATGATTTTGTTTTAATCTTTTCACTTTCAATGCTTCCTTAGGAAGATGAACAAGCAAGAACAGACTACTTCATTAGGACACTGTTACTTGAATTTCAAAATGTAAGTACTTTCTATTAAACACTCTAGGAGAAGTTTTCAAAGAGAAGATAACACAAACAGTATTCTGTCTTCTATAGTTAAGGGAGTTTGTGAATGATTTTGGTTAGATAAAATAATGAAGAAAATCAGAGAATAATTTCTTTTAGTATAAGAGCGTTATGCTTATCAAAGGACACAGTAATAAATTATAACTTGTTTAGAGAAACTTTCCCTGAGTTAAATTGGCTATATTTGGCATAATTATCCTTTCTTGCTCCAAACCCTTTTCCTCTATTGCAACAAGCAGACGTTAGTATTATTTACATATTACCCACATTTACTAGTTTATAATATCTTGGAATGATCTTCAGAGCCAAATCGTCATTCCAATATGTATTATTTTTACTTGAGGCTGTTGCCTTCAGTGTCCAGAGTTACTAAACTAATCTCTAGGATAGAATCAAGGAACAATCTGTCGGACGGTGAGAAAATGTCTGCCAGCCTCCTCATCTGTTTTTATCATGTTAACTCCTGGACCGTACGGAGTAGCACCTGAGAGACGCGCTCTCCCCACCTTCTGCCCAACAGAGCTGCCGCCTTCCTGCTCATGGGCGGGCTTGGGTGTCCTCTCTGAGGACCTGGCCGAGCCTCGGAGGCGCACCGCGTCTGCCAGCCGGCCTCCCCTTGCTGCCGTAGTCTGTCCCCTCCCCGTCCTTCGGCAGAGGCGTTGCCACAGTCACAGCTCACCTGAGTCACTCAGCAGCTGGCTCCCAGGGAATCTGCATAGTTCTGCCCAGATTCTAACCCGGCTGATTCTGTTGACTTCTACAGTAACAGTTTTCAAAGCGTGCCTTGACATCCATACCCCTTTACACTCTGAACAATCACTGAGACTCACAGAGAGCTTCTGTTTATGTGGGTTATGTCTTTTAAGATCCACTATGATTGGGGCTGGGGATTTAGCTCAGCAGCATAAGCGCCTGCCTTGCAAGCAGGCAGTCGTGAGTTCAATACCCGGTACCGATAAAAAGGAAAAAGACAAAAAAAAAAAAAAAAAAAAAAGATACAAGATCCACTATGATTGAAATTAAAATTGAGAAAATGGGCTGGGAATTCAGCTCAGCAGTGTAAGCACCTGCCTGGCAAGTGCGAGGTCGTGGGTTAGAGTATTGAGGACACCTTTAAAGACAGGAGTTTACCAGCATATCTTCTACTAGCCTGTTGAAGGAAAGGCAGGTAACACCTTGGTGTTACTCCGAAAGCAGCCTCACGCTCGCCAGCTCTCACCCGAAAGGCTTGGGAAGCCGGGGAGAGATGCCCAGACTGTGGTTTTGAGAGCTCATTTGTACTAAGTAATAAGACAAGTGCATTGGGGTTGGACACATTCGTTTCTGAGTTCTTTTTTAGTTTCACATTCTGTCTGTGCAAATAGTGTAGATTAATTAGTGTATGTAAGGTAACGGTTAACAGGAACATTCACGAGATAAGGTCACCTAAGTTAATCCACATGTGTCATCTCCTATGGAACTTTGTGCAGGTTATTTAATCTTCTGTCTCAATTTCCTTATCAACAGTAGCTTCCTCGGGGAGATTAAATAAACTGTTACATTTGGAGCCACCAGCATCAATACTTAGCATAACATGCTGTCATTTATTTGCATTTTCTTTTTTAAGATAATGCTGAATACTTCATAAATATCTCACAAATGACAATTGAATGAACTGTAGTTTTTAAAGTTACAAAGGAGCCAGGAGTGGTGGCGTGTGCCTGTAATCCCCCACTGAGGAGGCTGAGGCAGTAGGATCACTGCAAGTTCCAGGCCAGCCTGAACTACACATTGAGATCTTGCCTGCAAAAAAATAAATAAATTTATAAATGCTATTTTCATGGTTACCGAACTTCTGCTCTTCATGAAGGAATCTCGTAGGCTGTATCAGTTTCATTATGTCAACTGGCCAGACCACGATGTGCCGTCCTCATTCGACTCCATCCTGGATATGATCAGCTTAATGAGGAAGTACCAGGAGCACGAGGACGTGCCGATTTGTATCCACTGCAGGTACAAAAGCAAGTTCTGAGTGTATGCAGTATGATGCTAATTCATTTGGTATTTATTTCCGCATCAATAGGATGAGAGTAATGCTGAACTTCTCCTACCTTACTACAGTGTGGTTAAAGCCCAGGCCCTAAACTGATGTCATCAATCTGGTTGGCAGACTGTGTAAATGTTACGTTACAGCATTGTTTATGTCAGAATGCTCGCCACACAGCAGGAGCTGAACGCCTTTTACCATACGAGGTAGAGCACATACCACAGGCTCGGTCTTCACTCCGCCTTCTACAGGCAGCGTAATCATATTCTCTGTGTTAATTACAAACAGAAACAAACATGTAAAAATTTCTGTGTCAGATGTTACCTTAAGAATCAACATTACTTTATGAACAAAATTACATTTTTTCTAAGGAGATTAAAGCTTGTATTAGACACTAAAATGAAATTATTAAATTGTCAACTCTGTTTCCCGGATAGAATGGTGAAGCCCCTTTTTATGACACTGACATTATATCATGGATATCAGATTTTTTGACGTATTTAGATATGTATGTATGTCTAAATATGTAGGTATGTGTGGATGCATTGATGTGAGACACCCTGGCTTTAAGACATGCTGTTATCTTATATACATTAAAATGAGAAATGATGCCATTTTCAAAGGAAAGAGATCCCCTGGCAAGTCTTTGATGTGAGAATACACTAATTTCAGAGCCATCGCAGCATAGACTGAAAGTGTATTTTAGAGCTGACGAAGAACACAGTGGTGTTTCCGTTCCTGGAAACATCAGGTTCCACATTTGCACAATGCCTGTCGTACCCTGAAATTGTATTTTATGGATACTGAAACCTAGATAGAGCAGGAAATCTTTCCTACAGCAAGGTGATATAAACGATGGATGCACATTTACCAGATTCATTATTAAATTATGCTTTATAGAAAGATTACTTTATTATAAGACTACCCAAAGCTGAATGATGACTGGCTTCCTTGGTAAAGCTTTTGTGTGTGTGTATGAATGAATGAAATGATTTCTATAGAGCAACATATAACATGTGTACAATATATATTAATATATATGTATACAATATATATACTGCTCTGTAGAAATCACTGTTGATTCACTTAATGTTTGTAGTTCAGTTATTCTTTACAGTTTAATTGCATATAAGCAACTATGTAAATCCCTGCCTTTGGCTTTTAGAAATGTCAAGCTGAGCCTGTTCATTTGAGGGGGGAGTGGTATAGCTAATTTTATATTCCTGGAGCAGAGGTTATTTCTGTTACATGTTTTACCTAAAATAAAACTGTCCTAACATAGCCAACTGCTCTTAATTGAATATTTTAGGTTATTTCTGCTCTCTGGTTATTTTTCTGACACATAAGCTATTTGATCCTGCTTACAATGAAAGCAAGCAAGCATCTCGATCAGGGAAATTTATAATGAATATTCTGGCTGATAGGTCATAATACTTGCATGATTTCAAGTCTTTACATATTGCCAGTCCTTTATTTCCTGACACCCGTCTACTGCAGTGGCCTTCCAAATTAGGGCCTACACTAATCCAGGGTAGAACTCACTGTTGCTATCTTTCTAGCCAGCTTTAGAGAATGTTAACATGGTCTCATTTGGATGGCTGCGTTTCCTCAGGGAACTCAGTAAGGAATGAGACACAAACTGTGCTAAACCAAAATACAGAAGCCGATTTGATATCACTTTTTTAAAAGCTAAATTTATTGTGGCTTTAGGAATGTTGTGGAGAATGCTCTTTAAAAAATGAAATGTACAAAGTTAAATTGATTGTGAAAGTACTAAATGTTTGTAGTAGCTTTGGAACATGTATCATTATAATACAGATAATGTAGAATATTTAAAAATCTAATTTTAGAAATTTTATGTTTCAATGTATGGTTTGCTAAACAGGAAAAGTTACCTGAATCCTGAGGCAATATAAGTTTCTTCTAAAGACCATAAAACTTTTATGACTTTGTCTCTCAAGTTATTTGTACCTGTCGCATTTGTCACGAAAACTAAATGACACTGTTCAGACTGAGAAGTGCACTGCTTATTTAAGTGGCGGTGGTTTTCTTTACCCAGAGAGCAGCTGTAACTCGCTGTCCCCCTGCATCAGCCCCTTGAGCACTCAGACAGCAGGCATGCGCTCCGGGGCTGCTGTGTATCTGTGGCCTTGGAAACTGACCTGGAAATCAGCTGGCAACCTGGTCAATTAAAATAAATTTTTCCAACCAACCAGTGATTGGTTGACCAATTAATGAATAGCTGACTTGTTAGAAAGGAAAAGTGTGTATTGCAGAAGTAGGCCGCCTTGTCTTGACGTCTTTACAAGGCAGTCAGCATTGTTTCCTGCTGCTGCTTTCGGTCGTGGATACTCCGAGTGGAGTTCGTAAGTCCGTGTCAGTAGGAACATTTTCTGCTTCTTAAAATGGATCATTTAAAATTTTTAAACAACCAAAATAGTCTGCTACTGCAATCAGTTAGCACATTCCCAGAAAAGAAAAATGAAATTGTTTTTCCACCAGTGATGGCCACTTACATGTCTGCACTTCCTGTAGTGTGACTGTACTACTTTATACTTAACCTGTGTTTGCTTCTGATTTTGGCTGTTTTAAACAGCAGTTGATATGTTCAACAGCTTACATTTTATATGACTATATTTACTATGAAGAGCTTTTAAAAATCCTAGTAATTCTAGGTTGCTTATAAATACTGCTTGTCAGAATTACTAGGTTACATGGTTAGCAAACTAGTTTCAAAAGAGCCCCTAAAATACAACTTCTGCCTAAAAATAACCCCGGTGACACCCTGCCTACTCCGTGTGCTGAGGAGCTCTGGCTGGAGCAGTCTCTAAGGGTCCAGCCACGCCCTGCCTCTGTCCTCTGGGCTTAGCACAGTGCCTGGGGCTGCGGCTCTGTCTAGCCTCCCTCCCCAGCACGGCTTTGTCTCTGGGGGTCGCCTTAGTGCCACAGTCCCCTGAGGTAGGGTGAGACTTGGAAAGTAAGGCCTCGGTGGCACTGTGAGTTCCTCATAGGCATTTCTTGAATTAAATGTTAAAAAGATGTAGACACTAATGTTCACGATGGTGTCATGCATCCATTCTGTGTTATAATTTGTTCGCTAAGTGAGTAGAATTTTTTGTTTCTTAAGTAATGTTTCAAGCCAAGCGTGGTGGCGCACATCTGTAGTACCAGCACTCAGAAGGATTACTCTGAGACAGGAGGATTACTCTGAGTTAAAGGCCAGTGTGGGCTATATAGTGAGTTCAAGGCTGGCCACAACTCCATAGCCAGACCTTATTTCCTGAATAAACAAACTAATTGGTTAATTTTCATTATGAATGTTAAAATATTTGTTCATGTTTATTTTTTTGTCACAAAAATAAAATTGTTCTTTCAAACTTTATACCCTTAGCGCAGGCTGTGGAAGGACAGGTGCCATCTGTGCGATCGATTATACCTGGAATTTGCTAAAAGCTGGGGTAAGAACAGTTTTCATGTAGCATTATGTCCAGCTAATCTGTTAGAATTTCACACTTAATTGCACAGAATGATAGCATGCATTTTGTTACACATGTTACTTTTTCACAATTAGTTTTACCATGTAAGAAATAAAGATTGAAATTGTAGCCAAGTGTGGTGACACGCCTATAATCCCAGCACTTGGGAGGCTGAGGCAGGATTATTTCAAGTTCAAGGCCAGCCTGGGTTGCACAGCATTCAAGACTGGCCTGAACTACATAGGAAAGAGCCTATCTCAAATATCGGTATAAATGCAGCATATTTCCTTGAGTTTACGAACCGCACAGGTGTGGCTCTGGGGGAGTAAGTCTGCCTCAGGGGTGTGAACTGAGATCTTTAGTGTTAACTGTAGGTTTAAGTACCACATTCAGTAGATGTTCCTACTGGAGGTGCCGTATAGTGCAGTGGTTACGAACGTTGCCTAGAGCCAGACTGTGCAGATTGAGGTTCTGCCTCTATCGCTTAACGCTGTGGGACTTAAGTTTATTGGTTTTCATTACTGTTGCTCTTAGGGTTGGTTTCAGTAAGTTGTGTTTGACATGGTAGAAGACACAGGATAAGCAGGCACAGCCCGTGTCCTGTTACAGATTGGAGAGATGTACGTCTCTTCATTGCATGTCTTTTTGGTTCCTCTGCTATAATTCCGTAGCACATTCATTTTCTGTGCATTATGGGCACTTTTTTTTGTCAGTCTTTGTCTTGCAGAAATAAAGCCAGTGCAGTGTTCAGTTCATCTTGTCTTTTTCTCGTCTGCCATCTTTCTCTGTTTGCCTGCCATCTACTATTTCTTCTAGGGAATATTTGTTTTAAATGATGCCTTACAAAGTCCTCTGAGCTTTAATTTTACTGTTGTATCACTCAAAATCTTTAATTTCATGAAAATTTTTCAGTGAAAATTTTAATCGATTTTTGGCATTGTAACATAAAAGTCAGAAATTAAAACTGATATGGGAAGGGGCATTTAAATGAATGCAACCCAACAAAATTTCAAAAGCTTTTCAGAATTTTGAAATGCTCAAAGCATTTCAAAAGGTGTGCATTTTGATTGTAGTCCTCATTTGACTGAATTTGTCTTTAACATTAATATAAGGCCTTAGTGTGAGCAGATAGGAAAATCGTTTGATGTTTATAAAGACTTCAAAGGAGTAAACTTGCAAATCATTTTCAATTCTTCTCATTGATTCAAAACTTCTCTTGTTTTTCACCAAGTAGTTCTCCTTCAGTAACCCTCACAGCGTCTCCTGGTTACTTCCGTCCTTTTGGTAGGAAAGCTCGTGCGTGTCGGGCAGACTCCCCGCAGGCTGCCTGTTGCTGCAGTCCTTCCAACAGACAGGAATTCTTAGCTGCTTTCACGCTCCTGGTTCCCTGGAGTGCAAGCCTGTGGTGCTGTGTTCTTACCTGGCACCTGTTACTGGTCACAACAAAGCCAAGCCAGGGGATGCTGTCCCGGAAAGGAAGTCAAACCACTGTTCTTCATGTGCCAGTGTGAACCCACACACCTTCTATCTCCTCCCCTTCCGCTTCCCTTCGCTTTTTATCCTCTTAGATAAGCTGCACATTGAATCTGCCTGCCTGTGAGCGTTTCCTGTGCTGTCTGTCTGTGGTCCATCTGACTCTCGGCTCCATGGCTGAGGATCAAGCTGGCTTTGTGTCCACACACAGCATCTGGTGCGGGGCAGGTGGTGCAGTAGGTGTTTGCAGGTGTCAAAAGTTGATAAGTACTGGGGCTGGGGATTTAGCTCAGCGGCATAAGCGCCTGCCTTGCAAGCAGGCAGTCGTGAGTTCGATCCCTGGTACCGACAAAAAGGAAAAAGACCCAAAAAAAAAAAAAAAAAAAAAAAGTTGATAAGTATTTTACTGTTTTCTTGACATTGTCCAAAACTGATAAAAGCCCATACTAAATTCTTTGTTCTAGAAAATACCAGAGGAATTTAATGTATTTAATTTAATACAAGAAATGAGAACACAAAGACATTCTGCAGTTCAAACAAAGGTATAGTTGTTTATTTCACTTTATAAGTGTTCTTTAATTAAATGCTTTCTTGCTTTAATCGTTCCCCATTTATCGTTTATCTTCCTAACAGGAGCAGTATGAACTTGTTCATAGAGCTATTGCACAACTATTTGAAAAACAGCTGCAGTTATATGAAATTCATGGAACCCAGAAAATTTCTGATGAAGGGGTAGGTTTTCCTTACTTAATGAGTTTTAACGTAATTTTACTTTGGAACAAGATGTGGTATTTAGCTTAATTGTTAAATTGTTTTAAAATGAGATTATCCATGTCAGCTAGTATTGTTATCTAACACACATTGATTCACTTCCTTCTTGCAGTTTTTGTCTCTAGTCTGGTGAACTTTTAGTGACTCCAATACAAGTTAAATAATCCAAATGAGGCAAGAGAAAAAGTATTAGAGAAATGGGTATCTCATTAAGAAGATCTTAGGTCAAAAGTCATAATAGATTATTGTTTTAAATAGAAAGCAGTATTTTACTGTAGTCTCTTCTGTAACCACCTAATTAATTGTAAGTTGACTCTATGTGAATATTATTTTGTTCTTGAAAAGTTGTATAGCCATTTATGTACATGCTATGCTTTTTAATTAAGCAGAATTATGGGGCTACCATTAACTTGCTTGGTATGTTGTAATCTCATGTCATTTTAGCCTTAATTTTTGGATATTCAAAATTGTGACTGATAATAAATACTGTTTTTCATTTCTTTTGTCTAAAAGATTCTCATTGTTTTATATATATATAAACAATGTTCCTAAAGGTGATAAGCTATATTCTTGGTAGATTTTTCTTACATCTTTTATCATTAAACCTATTGAGGTGCAAAATTTTATAACCTTTGATTTTTTTTTCCCATGAAATGATTGTGTCTGTACCCCAGAATACTTGCTTAAAATATCTTTGCTTGCCAAGTGACAGCTTCATTACCAAACTGTGGTCTCGGTACATCAAGGTAGCCTGAGACTGAGCTGTGATATGTAGGGATCTGTGTTTACTTTATTAACTAGGTGACAGCCATAGGGCTTAAAAGTGCACAGATGTGGCCTGTGTCTTTCTGTTCAGTAAGGTTGTTGTGTGAGTGGTCCCTGCATGCTGTCGTCTCCTTTTCCCTTTAGTGTAGTTAGAGACTGTTATATAACCTGTGCTCATTATGGGCTAGTATTTTATAATACAGAATAGAATGGCTACTGCTTTATGTAATGCTATATCAAAAGAGATGTACACTATTTCAAAATGCCGAGTAATGGACAGTTTTATTTTATTTTAGAGGTAGTGGTATTTTAGTTTAGAGATAATGAAACCCAACAAAACAAAACAGAATAAAGCCAGTCAAAGCAAAGCAGTGAAACTGGTGCAGAACTTCAAAGCAGGGCAATGGGAAAACAGCAGTGGCTACCATGGTAGATCTTGTTATCTTCATAATAGTTGTCTATTCCATCAGGTAGAGCAAAATCAAACCAAAGCTTAATAAAGCAAAACAGAACAGTATTCAGAAACAACGTAGAGGAAATCCCCCATGTTTGCTGTATTGCGTGCTGTCATCCTCCCATGGATGCTTAGATCACCTGCTCGAGGCCTACACAGTCAACCAAATAATACAAGCATTGCATTGCTTTTTACCTCAGTTGCTGTCAACTCAGCCTGTTCTCCAAACCAGCTGGTTGCTTACAGGGTGAAGCGGGGAGTTGATGATTCTCAGCCCGAGCGCTGAGTGCCAGCAAGCTCACACGAGGGTGCTCTCCGACTTTCCTCTTCCTGAGCCCCGCGTGGCCTGCACGGCTCACTAGAAAGGCTGGGGGTTGGCTTCTTGGTGGGCTCCTCCCAGTCCCAGCATAGCGGGTTCGCAGGACACGCTGACTTTTCTCTTCTTGGGCCCCCGTGGCTTGCTGATATTCTTTAACCTTTAAAATGTGTTATTTCATAAATGTAAGACTAACTTCAAATTAAGGTTCTTAAATTTTAGAAATATAACTCATTTTTAATTTATTAGCAATTTTTACAGTACTAGAGATTGAACTTTCACATTGAGCTACATCTCTGAATCTTTTTTAAAATTTTGAGACAGTCTCACTAAGTTGCCCAGGCTGGGTTCCATGTTGAAATCCTTCTGCCTGAGCCTCCCAGGGTGCTAGGATTATAGTTGTGCTATCACACCCTGCTAGAAATACAGCTGGTTTAAACTACCATTTTCTTAAAAAAAAAATGAAAGTGAAAAAATAATTCTGTATATTATCCTTGCATATTTCTGTGTGCGTGTGTGTGTGTGTGTGTGTGTGTGTGTGTGTGTGTGTGTGTGTGTGTGTGTTTTGAGACAGGGTCTCGCTATGCAGTTCGGACTGCCCTGGAGCTCACTTTGTAGCCAAGGCTGGTCTCGAATTCTCAAGGATCCTCCCACTTCAGCCTCCCAAGTGCTGGGATTACAAGAGTGAGCCACCACACCCGGCTCATCCTTGTATATTTCTTTATGTACAATATCTACTAATTTTTTAAGATATGAAAAATTCTTCTATTGCAATGTATAGTTTTATTGAAAGCTTTTACTCTATGTAAACAACCTTTGGGAAATGTGTGATAAATACTGTGTAGCTCTCTCATCCCCAGTTTCCTTCTGCTTCATCTTGACTAGGTTTCCCTCAGTACATCAATTCTTGTTTTTAGTGAAGTATAAGCTCTATTCTAGGATAATAATTTTGTCATGAGAGTGTTTCTGTCAGAAGGGTCAGAGATTTGCAAATGACTAAGGAACACGGGTGTCCTACAATAGCCAGTAGCAAATGAGTGGTTCCTTCAGACTTGCTTTCTTGGTTTTGCCTGGTAATGCGCACACACCCGAGGTCCATACAGATTGGGCGTCCTCTAGTGATGCAGAAACATCCTGGTAAGCTCGGGGTTGCAGAGTCCAGGTGCCTGCCTAGCTGTCCTTCAGTGGGACGCGATCACTGTGCGCGTGCGTGCGTGGATCCTTGGATGGGTTCCGTGTTAGCTCTCTGTCGGTGTGACAGAATACCTGAATAACTAGGAAGGAGGGCAGATTCATGGTTTTCATTGTTCTTTGGTCCTTTGCTGGCTCGGTGGTTTTTAGGCCTGTTTGTGGGGCAGCGTCCCTGATGAAGGGAGCACGGGAAAGAGCTGCTCCCCAGAGCAAAGGGCCTGGGTGGGAAGGTCTGGGCGGATATCCGTTCCTGCCAGAGTCCCCCCACCCCGCCTCCCTGTTGTTTGGGGCCCTCTGAGCCTCTGGGGGACAATTCAGATCAAAACCACAACAGATTGATTTGAAAGTGGAAGGGTAAAGGGGTAAAAAGGAAAAATATTATTCTTGATAACATTTTCTCTTAAGAAACTTGTTTTCTAAGTGGCATGAGGTTGACCATGGTGAATCCCGGTTAGGGAAGTGTGGGCTCTGAGCACTGGGGAGAGAGCACTGCAGATGTGGACTGAGGAGAAGCCGGAGAAGCCGGAGCCCTGTGAGGAGCAGTAGGAAACGTCTGCTTGTTGTTTACCTCATGGCTTAATTCACTGGGCCGAAATCTGTGTCCTTTGTTCTAGAATTGTTTTCTTCGTAGGAATTTTTATTTGAAGTGTTAATTGGTAACAAGACTGTAAGACAGATGGGGTTTTTGGAGGTGGTTACCCTAGTGATGGCTTCCTGAGCAGGCGGTCTCGGTCCTGTGTCTCCCCAATTGGGGATTTGGGGACGTTTAAGGTGTGCACAGAGCATTTTCACCTTCTGTGTACCTCGAGCCTGCGTCAGTGCTGCCACCCGGGGTTCCCGCTCTGAGATGGGTCAGAGCAGTGTCGTTTGCACTGTAGTATTTCTGCTGTGCTTGTCGCCTTTTTAGATGTGGTATTGGATTCAGAATATTTTTTCTCCCAAATGTAAGGTTTCTTAATTTTGTTCTGCAGCTGATAACATATCCTTAAATCCTTAGTGATTAGATTCTGGTCCTTTTTTTCTTTTGTGGTCTTCTATGTAGCAGCTGTATTATGTGGAAAATAGTGGTATACAAAATAACTTTATTTAGAGTGTCCTGCTTGCTTGAAATGAGAATACAGAGTGTCCTGCTTGCTTGAAATGAGAATACACAAGAACCTCCTCTCTAAGGGATTACTTCATTTTTAAAAGTTCTTTCAGGGCTGGGGATTTAGCTCAGTGGCATAAACGCCTGCCTTGCAAGCAGGCAGTCGTGAGTTCGATCCCTGGTACCGATAAAAACGAGAAAGACAAAAAAAAAAAAAAAAAAATTAAAAGTTCTTTCAAGTTTGAAAGTTAGCGATTTCTCCAGCTGATATTAAAGTGGTCCAAAAGTCAGTGCCCATGGGGTGAGAACCGGGTGAATGGCGGAAGTTTGGCCTGGCCTGCTGCCTGGCTTTGCACAGCCACACTGACGCCTGCATCCGATGCTACTCTCAGCTCAGCATGCTCGTCTCCTTGCAAGTTCCTTTCCTGTGTCACAGGAATCGTCTGCCTACAAGTGTCTCCTTTCTCCACGTCCTCCTCCCACCTGTTCTTCTAGCCCCTTCGCGCTTCATTTTTGTCAAATTGCACGTCCCTCAATGCCCAAGCTCCTTCTGCATTGATGTTCTCAGGTGGTCGTGACCCTTCCTCTTCTGATTGGGAACTGTGGCTTCACCCTTTCATACCCCACAGGGGAGGCAGGCTCAGGGTGCTTCCTTGAGTTTGGGCAGTGTGTTCCTGTGCCTGTGCTGCTGACTGTGTTCAGTACATCTCATAGCCAGAGTCCAGCATGCTCTAAAAACTTGGTTTGATTCATTTGGCAGCAGCTAACTTGACGTGGCATAAGGCTATTTATGTCACACTAAAATCGCCTTGTGTTGCTTAGGAACAGTTCAGGAAAAGCTGTTTCGTGTAGGCACTGAATTTTTATTTAGATTTGGTGTAAATAATTATTGAGTTATGAGACTGTTATTTTCTGTTGAATGGAAATAGGTTAAATCAGTAATACGTCAGTAGATATTTATGGTTCCAGAAAAATTATAGATTCACCCTCCCCATAGCATCTACCCCTGCAACAGGTGCCTGTATTACGGTAGGTAGGTTTACTGAAAGATGAAGCTCACCAGGCCTGGGATCCCAGGAGTCTAGGAGACTGAAGCACAATTGCAAGTCTGAGCCCAGCTGAGGCAACTTGACAGTTTGTTTGTTTGTTTATGGTACTAAAATGGTACCATAGTTTCATGTTACTGCGTTGTTTTTTAAAGTAATGAGTACTGAGCTATATCCCTAGCTTGTTTTCATTTTTGAGACATGTTCTAACTTAAGTTACCCACAGTGGCCACCACATCAGTCACTATTTTAGTAGAGAAACAGATACAACATGATAGGCAAATGTATAAGAAATTACAAAATCACCTTATGATGGCCAGCCACAGAGCAGCTGCACACGGAGACCGAAGGATTCAGCCCAAGGTCCAGAGCTTACTGCAGTGTCTGTGCAAGTCCGTATCAGGTGACGCAAGACTGAAGAGTGTACACTGGAAGGCTGGAGGATGCACACCGGAAGCCAGAATGCCTGCACTGGAAGCCAGGAGAGGACATGCAAGCTGAGGGTGAAGACTGGAGCTCCCCCAGAGAACAGAAGCAGACCCATCCTTCCTCATTTCCCTCGTGGCATCCGAGAGACCTAGGGCGGCTGAGCAGATTTAGTTAAGCTTCTCTTAGCTTCTCAAGCTGACACAATCAATGGATCATGACAGTGACTTTGGAGATAGTGACCTTGAACCTGGGGCCCTCCTGCCTTGGTCTCCTCAGTTGGGATTACAAGCATGTGCCACTACCCCCATCTAGTAGGGCTTTTAAGAAGTCAATTTTGAAAAAAAAAAACGAAGTCAGTTTTGCTGGCATCTGCAAGACTGTGTTCCCAGAACTATAAAAGGCTGTGGCAGGAGGGTCACAAGTTCAGTCCCAGCCCAATTCAGCAGCTCAGTGAGACCCTGTCTCAAAATTTTAAAAAGCGACTGCAATGTAGCTTAGTGCAGAGGCCACGGATTCACTCCCTGGTGCCAGTCTCCCTCCTCAGTACGAAAAGGGCACACTTCTTACCAGGTCCTTGTGTCGGGCTTTCTCCATCATCGACGGGGTACTCTGACTGTTACTGGGCAGCTGTGATCTCTGTTCTCTTTAGTCGGAAATATTCAAAGTAACCTAAAGACAAAGAAGCTGCCATGACAGACATGGTTGTTCTTTATTTTTTAATACAAGGTCTTACTGTACTGTGTAAACTGGCCTCTCAGACTCCTGGACCTAAGCAGACCTCTTGTTTTATCTCCCAAGTAGTTGATATCTTAAGTGTATTTGCGTCAGTGAGAAATGCCACACAAACAAAACAACTGGAAAAAGGCGTTCCACAGCTCCTCTCCCCACAGCCCCGGTTCTTTAAGATTCTTGTACTAAGTGGACTTGGGCCTCTCAGCGGTAAGGATGTCCTTGGTCCTGAGACCCACAAGAACTCTGGCTGTCCCGGGATGGGCTGCTTCTTCTTTTTGGGGTCCCTGTGATTGGTGATGTTAAGAGCTGTGTTCCCTAATGGGGTACAATGTCCCATATGATGACAGAGAGAGGGGGCAAGGAATATTAAGATTGTAGAGACTGTTTCAGAAGCGCCACCTTAAAAGAGTAAACATGTAACTACCAGGGAGCAGTGGGGAGCCACAGTAGTGTTAATCCCCCCACCCCTAGTAGTTGTGGTTCCTGAAAACAAGCTGCGTCTTTGATCCTTACTTCCTTGGGCAATCTGTTTTCACAGCAGCATTTGACATGGGCAGAGGTACACAAGTGATCTCAGGAATTGCTGAGCCATGTTTGGATCCAGATCTTTGCTGTTGAAAGTTTGGTCTTTCGTGCTAAGACCCAGAGCCAGAATTTAAGACACGTTTTTTTATTTGAAAAAATTGACAATGTGCAAAAATTTTTTAAAGCCAGAAATAATTTAGTTGAAACATGAGGACAAAAGGCTATTTTTCTCTTTTAGTGAAGCTTTTTTCCCCCCTTGGCAGAATGAAATTACCTCTGAAAATATGGTCAGCTCTGCAGATTCTGAAAAGCAAGATTCTCCTCCTCCAAAGCCCCCACGGACTCGCAGGTATGTGTTCAAACACTTCTGTAATTCCAGCGCTCAGAAGGCTAAGGTAGGAGACCAAGTTGGGTACAAAATGAGCTCAAGGCCAGCCTGAACTACATAGCAAGATCCTGTCTCAAAAAGATCCCCCACCAAATGTTCAGTATGACAGTGGAAAATAATTGAGCAGCTTTGTGTGTGTGTGTGTCTGGACTTGTAATTTTTGTGCACATGAACTACTTTATAAGTATATTAAGCTGGGGGAAAATCTGTTAATGTAGTTCTCAGCCAAAAGAGCATCTTCATTACATTCTGTCAACATCATGCAAGGATGACTGCTTCTTAAAGCCACAATACTATTGGTTAAATAACACATTTAACTGTGGTCTCTCCCCCAACTCCCTAAATGATAGCAAAAATAGAAAATTAGTAGAGAAATAATAGCGTATTTGAAGAGTAAAAAGCATGTCAACCAACGCTAACAGACTGGAGAGAGCTCAAGCTTGCTTTCTTGTAGGTGAGAGAGGCCACTAAGGAGCAAGATGGCTCTTCTCAGAGAGCCCCGTAAGCCTCCAAAGTTGGATTAAGGTCTCTCCACAGGCCAGTGTTAAGGATGGGACTCAGGATACAGAGTGTTGAGGTTCTTAGGAGGAGCTCTAGACACCCACCTTGCTCCTCCCAGATTGTGCAGGCAGGTGGGAGCTTTCCAGACTTGGGTGAACAGCACTGTGGGGGATTTATTCTGCAGCCAGCAAACCCATAATCCTCAGGCCTGGCTCCAAGTGGCCCCTGACTGAAAGCAAGAACCTGCATGCACATGGTGAGGTCCCCAGCTGCCTGGATCCCACCTCTGACTTGGCTTCTAGAATCCTGTTAAGTGCTTCCCGTAGCGATCCTACCGCTGAAACGTCTCAGCAGCCAGCCAAGCAAGGGAAGAAGTCTGCAGATGCAGAAATGGTGGCCCTCCTGTGCCCGCACAGCCACTCTCCCACAGCCCCCGCCCCACCCCAGGCCAGACACTGTCTCTAGGCATTCTAAAGGTTCCGTCCTTGAAAGTGAATAGAAACACCGGGCAGCTCAGAGCAAAGCCCGGGGTCCAGTCCTCCGCGTCCTCCCTACAACAGCAGCCATCATTCACAAAAGCTTCTTAACGTGCAGCGAACCATGAGAGCAAGTGCAGACAGAGGAGGGGAAGCTGAAGAAAGAAACAGCTGCCCCGTTTCCTCAGTCACCGGGAGTGCTGCAGCTGTGAGACAAGGTCCAGACGCTGAGAGTGTAGTAGCGTCAGTTTGAGAAGCTGAACAAAACTAGAAATACCTGAAGAAAATGATAGGAAATAGGAGAAAAGGATTTTTAAAAATGAGAGAATCAAACAAGTAGATCTGCTCTAGAAAAAAAATAGCAAATAAAAAAAAATGAAGAGCGTGAATTTTCATATGGAAGCTGCACAAAATTCTCAACATAATGGATAAAAATGGAATTGTAGCACGTGTTTTTAAAAGATAAAGAAGTTGGGGCTGGGGATTTAGCTCAGTGGCATAAGCGCCTGCCTTGCAAGCAGGCAGTCATGAGTTCAATCCCTGGTACCTATAAAAACGAAAAAGACCAAAAAAAAAGATAAAGAAGTTGTAGCACACTAAGAATGAAAAGGACCCAAAAGTTCCAGAAGAATGGAACAGGGCTGCCAATTACAACTCTTCACACATGGATCAGAACCATAGTTTTAAAATCGTAGAGAAAAGTAATTTCTGACCTTGAATTCTGTACCTTTAAAAAAAAAATCAGTGCCTTTAAGCCTAGTGCAGTGCTGTGGGTCTTTAACCTCAGCTTCTGGGGTGCTGAGGCAGGAGGATGACTGGGGTGCTGAGGCAGGAGGATGGATGTGGGTCCAGAGCCCGACGAGGCATCATGGTGAGATGTCCTAGCTTTGAGATCCAGATTCTCAAGCAGCTGGCCGCCTGCGTGGAGTTCCTGAGAGCTGAGAGTACATGCAGCTGGTGAAAGAAGGGGGTGCCCAAGAAGGGGTGCCCAGCAGCGCGGCCAGCCTGGCCTGGGAGAGGCATGCACACTGCAGCTCTGCGGCCAGGCGTCCTGCGGGAGCGGTATGGTCATGCGGTCTGTGGTGTCGACAGCTTCCGGGGTGCTGGAGCTCACCAGGGGGGAGCCTTGCAGATAGGCGGGGTGAGGTACTGAGGATCCACAGGGAACGAGGCCATTCGAGGGAGACAGACCGGGTGTCCCAGGTCTTAGTGGGGCAGCGCTGGGAAGGCTGGAGCGGGGGCTGCAGGCGGGCACACTGCTGGGAGCACGGTGGGAAGTCTCGGGCTGTGAAGTTGCTGCTGACCAGCTGGAGGGGAGCCATCCCACTGGACTCTGCATCCTGTGTCTTGTGTAGTGAGTTAAGTGTGTGTGTTACCTCAGTAAATATGGAATCATCTCCATCTGACAAACTACATTTTTAAATTTATAACTTTAACGGCTTTCAGTGTAAGAGTTATGCTGTGGCACTTGTCACCTTGTCCTGAGGAGGACAGGCTTTCTCACGCGCTCTCTGCTGCTTCCTTCCAGCTGCCTCGTGGAAGGAGATGCCAAGGAGGAAATCCTGCAGCCTCCGGAGCCCCACCCGGTGCCGCCCATCCTCACGCCCTCCCCACCCTCGGCTTTCCCGACAGTCACCACCGTGTGGCAGGATAACGACAGATACCACCCGAAGCCCGTGCTGCACGTGGTTTCATCAGAGCAGCAGGACACGGACCTCAACAGGAACTACGATAAGTCAGCAGACCTTCCAGGAAAAAGCGATTCTCCTGCTGAACAGATAGATAAAAAATTGGAACGAAATTTAAGTTTTGAAATTAAGAAGGTCCCTCTCCAAGAGGGACCAAAAAGTTTTGATGGGAACACACTCTTGAACAGGGGACATGCGATTAAAATCAAGTCTGCTTCACCTTGTGCGGCCAATAAAGGCTCCAAGTCCCCCGAGGTGAGTGTAGGGGGAGTGAAGGCCAGGGAGTGCTCTCCCCATTTCTGTGTGGACTGCGGCTCCCCGCAGGGGCCTGCACCACTCTCCGAGGAGCCCCGGCCGTGTGCGGGCACTCCCCCAAGGCCAGACCGCCTGGCCCTGGACAGGAGGGGCCACGCAGCATGGTCGTTCCATGGACCCGAGAACACCACCCCTGTCCCTGATGCCTCTGAGGACACCTCCCCCAGTAGCCACTGCCCAGCCCTGAAAACTGCGAGCTCAACCCCCAGCCCCGCCATGCCCGGTGCAGCCTGGGACCCCAAGCAGCAGCCCAACGGGTCACCTCTGTGCCGCGTCCCCCTGAGTTTCACAAATCCTCTGCACTCTGATGACTCAGACTCAGACGACAGGAACTTTGATGGTGCTGGGACCAAGACTAAAACTAGCATTTCAACAGCAAGTGCCACAGTCTCTGCTGCCACTGGTACCGAGCGCGTCTCCACCAGGAAGGTGCTGCCCATGTCCATCGCTGGACATGATTTGGGGGCAGCGCTGTGCCCAGGTGCTGACAGAGGTAAGGAGTGATCGGCGACCTCACCCAGGGCACAGTCCCGGCCACACCACACTGGAGATGGGCTTTTTCATTTTGTTAGAAATAAGTTGAGGTCTCTTTAATAAATAGTGCTGGAAAAACTGGCTCTCCATATGCCAAAAACTACAAGTAGACCCATGCTTATCACTATGTTTAAGCCAAAGTCAAAATGGGTCAAAGATCTAAGTATTAAAACAGAAACACTAAGTCTGCTGGAAGACAAAATAGGTAGACATCTTGAAGACAGGGGTAGGTAGAGAATTCGTGAACAAAAATCAAACTGCACAGGAAATACTTCCCAGAACCAAAAACTGTGATCACATCTTATTAAAAAGTTTTTGCATGTCAAAAGAAATCTTCAACAGAATAAAAAGACAACCCATAAATTTTGAAAAAATCGTAGTGAGGGGCTGGAGATTTAGCTCAGCAGCATAAGCGCCTGCCTTGCAAGCAGGCAGTCATGAGTACAATCCCTGGTACCGATAAAAACAAAAAAGACAAAAAAAAAAATTCGTAGTGAGCTGTCCCTCAATAAAAGGACTTCTGTCTAGAACATACAGAGAATTTTTAAAAATCAGACGCCTAAAATTCAAAGACCCAATCCAAAAATTGGCATCTGAGATGAATACACAGTTCTCAGATAAAGAAATACGAATGGCAAATAAATACATGAAAAAATGTTCAGCATCATTGGTCATTAGAGAAATGCAAATTAAAACTATACTGAGATTCCATCTCACTCCAGAAAGAATAGCCAGGATAAAGAAACCACCAACAACAAATGCTGGAGAGGCTGTGGGCAAAAAGGAATTCTGCACTTTTGGTGGGAGTGTAGAGTGGAGGTCACTGTGGAGGTCAATCTGAAGGTTCCTCAAAAAGCTGGCAATTGGGAGTCCCATTTGACCCAGCTGTTCCACTTCTGGGCATATTCCCAGAAGAATTGAAAGCATCATATCACAGTGATATATGTGCACCCATGTTTATAGAGCACAATTTGTAATAGCCAGGCCTTGGAAACAACCTAAATGCCCATCAACTGAGAAATGGATAAAAAAGATGTGGTACTTTTATATAATAGAATACTACTCAGCTATAAAGAATGGTCACATTGAGATATTTATAAGCACGTGGACACAACTTGAGAGCATACTCATAAGTGAAATAAATCAAACTCTTGTGAGTAAATACTGTATTGTCTCCCTAGTATAAGAAATGGTAAAAGTACATAACATACAAAATCCTCAGTAAATACATTTGAAAGGGTAAGAATTTTCTCAAAGGGGGAAAAATAATATCAGGGAAAAGCAGGGGAAAAAAAGGAAGAGAAAAGAAAAAAATACCTAAATTTGTATAAACACACTTAGGATAACTAAGATGATTGTGTTACAAATTCTGGAAGTTTGCAGAACAAAGCAGTTAATATTCATAGGATTGGAACAATTTTGCATGTTTGTGTCAAGTGACCTGAGGAATTCTTGAAGATCACTATGTAAAGTATCAACCACAGTTCTGTTCCTACCACTGTGTTCTGAAGGCTTGTATCATTATTGTTTTGGGCTCTTTGCCATTGTTATTTATTTGTCTTTTTTGTTGCTTAATTTTCTAGTAATCTGGTTTTTTTTTTTTTTTTTTCGCTCTAAAGCAGAAAGGATAGGTGTACATGTAGAGGTTTATATACGTCTAGAACTTCTAAACAGTTTACGAGAATCGATTGTATGTGTGATGAAATGAACAGCTACTTTGAAGAAAAACACATTATGGTATCCGTTGCTGATTTCATATCGTCATGCTGTGAAATCCAGAAATGCTTCTGTTCTTTGTTCCAAGCAGTTTTAGTCTGTTTTGTATTGTTTAATTTCAACATACATGAAGATACGGACAGCTATTTTAAAGAGAATAAGAGACATTATGGCAGCCATTGTTGATTCTCCTATTGTCTAGTTTTGAAGGCCTGTAATGCCTTCATTACCCTCTTCTGATCAGTTTTGTACTACTTTGTTTTGTATGAATTCGCTGTGTGTGAAGATTTAGGTAACCAGTTAGAAGAAAAGGAGACATTATAGTAGCCACTGTAGAACTCCTGTTATCTTGTTTTGAAATCTGTGTCATTTACATTGTTTTCTTCTGATCTGCTTTGTTCTGTTTTATGTTTAGTTTTACCCCCTATTTTTAAAAATAAAATAAAATTAAAATTAAAAAAAAAAAAGAAATAAGATGAGGTTTAGTTCAGCAGCAAATTGCCTGCCCAGCAAGCGTGAGGTTGTGAGTTCAATTCCTAGTACAAAAAAAAATCTTACTGTTACCTTAATTGTTTTAGAGGTTCTGGTTTTCCAGAATACCTCAGTGGTTGTAACTAAAACGTTTCCTTTGCCTGCCTGCCTGTTTGCCTAGGTTTGAGCCCATTGCCCAACCCTGCCCCCATTTCAAAGTTTTAGTTTGAAACAGAGTTTTCCTGAGCTGCCTAAGCGGTTCCTGAAATTGCAGCCCCGCTGCCTCACCCTCCTGGAGTTCCAGAACAGGGAAATTCCTTTGCCTTTTCCCCATTATGTCAGCTCTTAGTGTTTTGTGTTGGTTAAAACTTTATCTGATTGAGTGCTTAGAAATAATTCAGGGGAAACCGAGTTGCTCAAAAAGCAGACATAGAATGACTTGGTTGACCATTTAAATTGACCATTTTCACAAAGCCACAAGTCATCTTTTTTTATTTTCTTAACTGAAAAATACCTTTTATAAGAACCTTCTTCAAAAATGCTTGCAAATAGGGGTGCTTTGTACCTAAAGTTTACCCAGGAGCAATACTGGAAAGCAGTCTGGGGACAGGCAGTTGGATTCACACGGTGGTGTCCTTGATCTATCCACTTCCTTAAGATACCTCGGCGGTCCAGGATAATATGTATGCTCCGTTTCCAGGAGGTGTCCTTGGTCCTGTTGCTCAGTCCACTGCCGGCACCTGTGACTGCTTTCTCAGGCCAGAGCGCAGAGAGCAGACGTGGAAGCTGCTCACTCCTGCACTGATACTGGGAGTCGCTCATGCTCCCGCCGACATCAGGAGTGAATTCAGCCGTGAACTTCAATAGTTAAATCGCCCCAGGATTCTGGAAAAGAGAGCCGTGTTTGTGTTCATGTAGGAAAGGTGGCTGGGGTCAGGTTGGTCACCTGATGCAGAGTTCAGAAACAAAAACAAATTTTTGCCAAATGCTTTTGTTTGCAAGCTAAATTGTTCACAAACAAAAGTATTCATGAACCAAAGTATCTGTCTTACTGCCTGTACTAGGGTGTTTTTGTATTTCCTAATTATGTAGACGATGTGTCTTTTGAGGATGTATTTTATAGAGTAGATTTCCTTGTCATGTATCTGTCTGTCTATCCATCCTGGTCCGGGGTTTGTGTCCTGGGCCTTCATACTGAGCTCCATCCCCAGTCCATTTCTTGTTTTGAGACAGATTCTTGCTGAACTGCCCAGGTGTGGCTATTGTGTCTTGTCCTTTCTCCGGGGTGCCCTTTTACTGCTGTCTCTGACTCAGCCAAGCTTGCTCTGCAGAGCCGGTCTCTCTTGCTCTCTCATTCTCCCGCCCTTCCGCTTCAAATAGCCCAGGCTGGACTCAAATTGGGGATCTTCCTGCTTCAGTCTCCCAGAGTACTGGGGTTATAAGTGTGTGCCATGACTCCCCGTTGGCTTATTTCTTAATGTCCTTGAAGGATCTGTAGAAAATAATGGCTATCTTAATAAATATGTACCCATTTTTAATCTCTGGTCCCTCAATTTGAGAGAGGGGACTGCAACTACCCAGTTGTAAGTCTACAAGAAAATAGGTGGACAAATTTTAATTGGAGGCTTCTTTCCCTAGGGAATTTTCCTCCCCCCCCCCCCTTCTACTTTTGACTGGAAATACAGCCTGGTGAGGAAGGTGTGTGATACAGTGAGCTCAGTAGGGGTGACTGCCGCACGACAGTCCTGTGACGATGGGGTGACCTGTAGTGCAGCGGCTGTGCTCAGAGGGTTGAGTGCACTCCAGCTCAGCTCCGTCCCTGCAGGTTTATTTGTGTTTCCAAAGCAAGACAGCTGTGCACGTGCTTTGGTTTCCTTTCAGCATGTTTGGATGCTGCCTCAGGGTTTTCCTGTGGGGTGCTCATTGCTGTAAGCTGACACAGTCGCCTGTTTCAGTGTTGGGTCACTTCCCCCATGGATAACCTACACATTACTGCATCAGTTACAAATTGTTACTCTTCCTTTGTGGCTTTGAAGAGTGAACCCTGGGCCTTGCACTACCCAGCAGGGTTTGGAGCTGCTGTCTGTCTGTCTCAGGCCTCCTGTGTGTCCAGTAGACTCCCAGATCCTGGGCAGGACTGGCGAGACGGAGCCCTCTTTCTGCGCCACCTGGTCCCTGGATGAGGTGACAGGAGCATGGGGAGAAGCACAGTTATGCCTACCCTGTGTCGTCTGCACTGGCGGCCTGGAGCTCTGGTCTCAGGAGGACCCACCCTGTGTTTTCATGGATAGGACTGGAGCCCTCAGACCCACCTGTGCTTGTGGGAAGCTTGATTTCCTATTTATCTTTAACATGTGGTACACTAGCAGAGTATTATGGCCAGGACCCATTCCATGTTGTGTTTGGGACAGCATCTCACCTTACAGTCCAGGCCAGCCTTGAACTTACTGTGTAGTCCGGGCTGATCCTCCTATCTCAGCCTCCCCAGGGCAGGGATGACAGGTGTGTGTCCCCAGGCTCAGTTGTGGTACTAGGGGTTGGAACTAGGGCCTTTGCATTGCGTTTTTGAGACATGGCCTCACTAAATTGCCCGTTGTTCCATAAGAGAGCAGGGGAGCAGACCAGACAGAATATCCAGGGTCTTCCTCTCCTCTACCCCACACTGCCTGCCTGAGTCTGTGCAGTCGTGTGACCATTGCGTCTTTCCTTACCTGTAGTGACACTCAGATCAAAGACTTTCCTATCTGCCCCATTATACTTAGGTGAGCCAGAGCAGCTTCCTTGATGGATCGTATTTGGTGAAAGCCTTCATACGACTTTAATCAGTATTCTGACAGCACCGTCACATGCCCCTGCGCCCAGGCATTAAAGAGTTCCACAGCTATATGTTTATGTATGTTAGAACAGCCAGCACCTCGCATCTCTGCAGGTAGTTGGTGTCTAAAACATGACCAAAACACACAGCTGTCCAAATGCTTGGGCTGTTTAGCAGACAGGCAAGGGCAGGCTGGGCAATGCTCCTCCCTGCCCGGAAGGCCCAGCCGCCTGGCAGCACAGGAGCCCCGTGTGGCTCTCAAGACCCGAGCCACCAGACCGACCACTCGCTCGTGCCCTCAGATGCAGGCGACAGGGGCTTGGAGAATACTTGGAAAGCTTTCTGCTTCTCCGGTGCCTTTCTTTTTACTAATGGTTTTCACACTTTCTGTGTTTGATCCAGATGTTGACGTTAGTGAAGATTCACCTCCTCCCCTACCTGAAAGAACTCCTGAATCTTTCGTGCTAGCAGGTGAACATCGTGAGTGTCTCTTCTGTGTTTGTGTTTACTGTGTACTGTAATAATAACTGTGGAACACATGGCCACTGTTAATCTAGCAACTATTGTGTTAAGGATTGAGTTGATAGTGCTTTTCTGTTTATTTAAAAAAACACTTTAAAATTGTTTCTAACTTTGCTTCCTGAGTTTGGTCGTAAGGGTTTATAGTAGATAGTTCAGTGACATGCGGTTATAAATTTGTTTGCAGTTGATGTCTTGTCATTCTTCAGAAGTAATGTTTGTGCAGCTTTCACTGCTTCACGTTCAGTGTAAGTTAACATTAGCCCAGGCTGTGGGTCAGCCTGTGATTTGCTGTTAACACAGAGACATTGCGGACCCCTGGGTTACTCGGCTCACAGCATGACTAATGTCCTTCTCTTTATTCCTCTCCTAACGAGGAGCAGGAAGCAGCCGGGTACATTTACAGTGTGTGTGTTCGCCCAGCACAAGGCTCGTTGCTCATTTTAACCTAATCTAAGGATGTGGAAGATGGTCAAGCCGATACCGGGGTTGCCCAAGCCTCACATTATCAGTAGGCTGCTGTCAAAGTAATCTGGTTCTGTTTTAAAGAAGGAAACGGATGGTTTTGAATTAATAGAAACTACATTTTTTTAAACTACGTTTTATGCAAGTATAGTTTCTAAAATTATATGTACTTTAATACAAAGAAATTACAAAGAGTTAAAGGTAAAATTTAATTACGAGATTGTGTCTTTCTCAGATACGCCTGTAGGATGTGAACGGAGTGAATGTCGCAGTCAGGAGTGGGGTGACCCCGGACAGTCTGAAGTAAGTCCTTCAGGTTGGAGCAGCTGTAGCTTAATATCTTTGTGCTCGCCAATTCATCTTACAGTTATTATAACAACATCTTAAGATCATTAAATACAGTTCATAAGTTTTGATGCACATTCATGCTATATAAAACGAAGATAAAAAAATTTTGAAAGGGACAACCTATCTTCATAAGAATGTCATAAGTGTTTTCTCAGAATCTTTTGAAAATTTGAATTACACTGTGTTCCACGTTAGGACACAGGTACATAACTACTGGGGGAAGGGGTCACAGTGCTGTCCTAGGGTTCTGTGCCACCACCACCCCCCAGTATAACTCTCCTGGCCACTTTAGAGTTTTCTCTCTGACTTTTTCAGGAAATGTTTCATACTTACCTTTTTCCTGCATATTATAACATTTCTGAAATAAGAAATGGGATCCAATTTGGTTGGCATTATAAAATACTGAGAAGTCACACTGGTGATATCTGTAATCAGTGATCCTGTAATTGGATGAAATGCAGCTGTGTATTCCCTTGGGCAGTAGCTCTACTCACATATAAAACAGTGTAATTTAAACATGTTAAGCCTAACTGCAAACACCCTGGTTTTGCTTCCCTTTGACATACAAGTCTTGGTAGGCTTGCTTTCTTGGGACAGCTGACTGAGCTGTGGCATGCACATGACATGAGTGGACTGTCGTAACTGTTTAATGTCTCCTTACAGGGCTTGGTGACCTCTGCAAGTGAAAAATGCGGTAAGTTACTAGATACTTTTTGCTTTTTGCTATAGACTTCCAGCAGAGCCTATTCTGAACAATCACAGAACATTTATTACCCCTAGTTACAGGTTAATGGGAAACACATTTTATTTTAGACGTTTGCTGTATTTTATTTATCATTGTTTATAAAAACATTTAGGAGCTGGTGATGTTGCGCAGTGGTAAAGCACATGCTTAGCATGTACAAAGGCCCCACATTCAGTCCCTAACATGTGTACACATGTGCTTGCTTGGGAGTTAGATTCTGGCTTGAATAAATGTCCCAGATTTGCCTCCATGATGGAATTGGGTCCATAAGAACCATTAATTTTAGAGATCTTCATTATAATATGCTTACCTTTATTGTGGAAACTAATAAAATTATGTTGTTTAAATCAGTGGTTGTCATAGAAAGTCATAGAACATTTTTACCATATTTACTTTTAGTGTCACACTAAAATAAGTAGGTCCTATTAAATTTTTAAATCAGTGACCAGCACGTTAACCTATCCCAGGGGTGGCAAAGCTATGGCACACGTGCTGCGGCAGCTCTGAAAGGGTCCCGGCCACTGCCTGACAGTTCTTCAGGGACCTGTGTCTGCAATCCCTGCAGCTTTTTCGTGGCTGCACCCTCAGTCGGGGCCTGGTGGATCTGTCCCATCTCATGAACTGGTTACTCTTTTCTGAGGCATATTATAAAGAAGAGCAAAAGCTTTTGAGCCAGTGTTACCCACTTGTTGTAGTCCTGGTTTTGCTCCTTTTCTGTGTGTCTTTGCAAGTCACCTGATCTTTCCGAGCCTCGGTTCTCTTGTCTGTGAAAGAGATAACCTTGGAGAGGAGTGCAGTGCAAGTTGACCAAAACAGAACAACACCTGTGTAAAGTGTAAACTGTCTGTCACAGGCTGGGCCGATGGCTGGTATTACAGCTGTCCCTGCTGCTGCCCCTGGATTCATTGATTGTTTAATTTTCTTGAAGTCTGTCAATTCCTGATTTTTCCTCCTCCTAACTATTCTGTCTGTCACTTTAGTCACTCTCAGATTGTCCTTGATTTTATTGCTGCCGACTCCCATGCATCTTCCTTGATCCTCCGGATTGCCGAGTGCCCTGAGAGTGCACTTGCACGTCCAGGTCCTGCTCTGCGGTTGGCCCTCAGCTCTGCCACACTCTTCATGCCCTGGCTCGGTGCTGATGACCATTTTAGAGCTTCAGTGGCACAGACAGCCCGCCATGGCGTGTGCCATGGGTTCACCACTGCTCTAGTGCATACCTGTCCGTTTCCCCTGCTCTAAAGTAATCAGTCCCACTATTTCTGGGATGCCCTGCGCTTCACTGAGACGATAAATGCCTTGAGACCAGGTCATCTTTCCTCCTTAAAAATGGCCCTAGGGCTGGGGATTTAGCTCAGCGGCATAAGCTCCTGCCTTGCAAGCAGGCAGTCGTGAGTTCGATCCCTGGTACCGATAAAAATGAAAAAGACCAAAAAAAAAAAAAATGACCCTAAATACCTACTCCAGTAGTTTCATCTACATGCCTCTCTCCATCCATTACACTCTGCATAATTTTACTAAGGTCTTATGACACTATTCTAATAATTAATAGACATAGCTGTATGTCCTTCACCAGGGGCTGACAGTCAGCAGCCCACACGGCTTTTAATGTTGTCCTTGCTTTTGTTGTTGGTATTGTTTGGATTTTGCATGACCTCGGTCAGAACAAGTGACTTTTACATCTTGTAGTCCTCTGTGGACTGTTGTAAGCACCTCAAGGGTGGGAAGCGTCTGTTATTTGACTTACTATTCCAGGTTTCCAGAAAGGTTCCTTGCAGGCAGAAAGGATATGGCAAAGGCCCTAAGACAATAAATGTCATAATAGTTAAATCCTTTTGTTACCATTCTTATGCATTGATAATTAAATTCATGAACCTACTGCAACTTAAAAAGCTTAAAACTTAAAAAGAATCACTACTTTTGGGGGCAAAAGTACGTTAATTCACAGCAAACTTGCCTGCCACGGATTTCCATGTGGAAACACTTCAGTTGCAGTCACTGGCTGAGAACGAAAGCACGCGGTGCAGCTCCTTTAAGGGAATGCACTGTGCCGTGACCTAGAGGAGTGAGACAGCAGCGCCAGGAGAAGCTTCCCATTGCAGAAGTGCACGCTGCAGGTTTGGAGGTGCCTCTGGGAAATCTGACACGATTTCCTGTGCCTACTGCCTTTGTGTTTCTTAATCAGGGCTTCTAAAACTATACACTGGGTGTGGTATACATACCTGTAATCCCCAACACTTGGGAGGCTGAGGCAGGAGGGTCAACAGGAGCTCAAGGCTAGTCTGGACTACATAGCACGACCTTGTCACAAATAAATAAAATTGTGATGACCACGAAACAGAATTTGTTCTGTGTGTATATGCGTGTGTTACTGAGGATTAAAACCAGGGCCTTTGCATCCCCAGTGCTTTTTATTTTTTATTTTGAGATAGGACCTCACTAACTCAAAATAAGTCACTGAGTTTCCCTAGCTGGGCTCAAATTCAAAATCCTCCTACCTCAGCCTCCAGGGTACTGGGATTACAGGTGAGCACAACCACACCTTGCTAAAATTCACTGTTTGTCATCATTGCTCCATTAAAACAATTAGTATTCTGTGGCCTGCAAAGGATGGTGCTTCATTAAGGGCTCTGTTTTGCATTGTAGATCATCCAGCAGCAGATATCTCAGAGACTTGTGTAGAATCTCCACCTCCTGTAAATGACAAGAAATCTCAGACAGCAGAAAGTCCAGCAGAAGTCACAGATATTGGTAATCTGTTTAATATATAGTTTTAAAGTCTTAAATAATAGTGCATAAAAGTCCTTCACCATTCTTCCTGAATTTCCATAAAGCTAAATTACTGGTTTTTTGTAACTGAGGTCTCACTATCTTGTCTAGTGCAACCTTGAACTCCTAGACTCCCAGGACCATGGGTGCCTACCACTCCACCTGGTCACTGTATTTTTTTTTTTAAAGAAGCAGTTATTTTCAGTTACCCACGATAAATTTATAGATTATTTGTAGTTACAAAGTTTTGTTTGGTTCAAACTCCATATTTCCTCCCAAAAATCTGCTTGTCCAACAAAATGGAGGGAAAAGCCTGAAGATGTCTGGAGCTGGTTTAACAGTGTAAAAGTTCTTCTCAGCACTAACCAGTTACTGTGGTGTCTTCACCGTAGGGTTTGGTAATCGCTGTGGAAAACCCAAAGGACCGAGAGATCCACCTTCAGAATGGACATGATTCAGGGAGCTAAAGACTTTCAGTCGTACTGGAGGATTAAATTGCCACTGAATGCAGGATTGCTAGTATCCCGTCTCTAACATGAGGGGCTCACAGCAGTGTAGATTGTTACCGTGATCTTTTTCATTTTGTTTTTTGCTGGGACCATCTACCTGCCTTATTATTACACTTAGGAAAAAGTGTTACATATGGTTCATTTTGTAATTTCAAGTATTATTGCCTTAATGTCCCTTAACCCTGTTACACGCTGCTTGTAGACCTGTTAATACAGTAATACTTTTATGATAAAATTGAGTTTAAGGACTACTCTTTTGCTGTTTTATCATGTATGCATTATTTTGTATATGTACAGGGCAAGTAGTATATAATTTGATAAACTTGCAGTCATAAAATAATATTAACAGAAGATGTAAGAAATTTCTGCATGATCTAAATCTTTGTGTACCTTATTTGTAAATTATTTGCCCTGAGGTTTTAGAAAATAGTTTCTGAATTTTAAAATTGCTGGATTCATGCAGCCAGCATTGCAGGTTATCAAGAGATCAAAGATTGTAATAATAATACATTTTGTAAATTGTAAGCAAAAAGTTATTTTTATATTATATACCGTCTAATTGTTCATCCTAATTGTTCTTGTTTTCATCTAGTCATGGAGATTCAGTAAGTGCCTTGGAACAATATTGAATTCTCTTAGCTCATGTGTGTTATATTTGAACTCAACTGGGATTAGAAGACTATCAAACTATGTGTATGTTCAGGATGTTTGACCTGCCATTAAAAAACAAACAATTTTACAGTGCCTGTGTGTCGTCTTGGTTTTTCAGTCCCAGGACGTTAGACCTCCTGTCACCCTTTGTGCTTCCTTAGGCACCATGTAAGTCCCGAGAATGCGTGAGATTGACTGTTAATTAAGAAATCCGAAGCTGGGTGGAGAGGTACGTTTCTGAAGTCCCAACTGCTCAGGAGGGGTGGGCAGGACACCGAGAAGCTTTGAGGTCGGCCCGGGCGCACGAGACCCAGCTCAGAAACAAGAGGAAGGAGGACTTCTGCTAAAGGCAAGGCTCTGCTTTTTCCAAATGCTTAGCCCGCGTCAGCCCTGGTGTCTTTCTCATCCATGTCAGTCTTCCAGGATCCCTGTGGGAAGCAGAGAAAGCTGAGCTCGGGAAGTGGGGGGACTTGTTTCCTTCTGCCCCGTGACTAGGTAGAGCGCAGTTTCCTGCCGTACAGAGTAAGTGAATTTTCAGGTCACGATGGGGATTGATAACCATCTGTTTTCCCTGTGAAACAAAAGAATGGAATGATGGGCCAGAAGTGAGATTTAGTGATTATATAAGCAGGAGGTAGATAGCTGTAGAGGAGAAAATACTGTAATCTTACAAGTTTTCAAAGCTAAATGGTCTTCATGTTGATCCCTCAACATGTTCCTGCTAGCTGGAATCATCAGGCAGCTTATACCAGCGGTAACAAATGGATTTTCTCACTTTTATCAGTCATCTTGCCAATAAAACTAATCAAGAGCCGCCCAATGGGACAGTGATGCATGTACCACCAGTGATTCAAGCCACCCAGCAGTGAGAATACAAATTGCAGGCCCCATCATGACTGTGTGAAAATTTAAAATATTTTTCAATGTTTTCATTGTAAGAACGTGGTAACACAGTGGCTACTTGGCATTCACAGGACATGAATACTCCTACAGTATACCATTTTCATCATAAAACCTAAGCGGAGGAAAGTGTAGCTGAACATAATGTGTAGCCACTTCACACTGAGTGAGTTATGTAATCTGGTCCTAAAATCATCTATAAACATTTTCATTGGGAAGGCTTTCCTAGACAGCTTTTCCTGAACTAGAACATGCATTCAGCTTGGTGGGAAAACTTATTAGACATAAGGTTCACATTCTTAAGTGTGTAGGACCATCAAGAAGCAAAGCTGTTAGCCACTGAGATGCTCTCCTCCTGGAATTTGCAGATTTTCATGAGTACTGCAGTTCATTGTTAAAAGAGTTTTGTGTTTTGAGTATAACGCAATTTACATGGTTTTCCTTTTTCTTTTTTTTACTGTTAATCTTTCATTTTGCTCTTTGTATCCTGAGTTTCTCATGTAAGAGAAGCCACATGGCCAGATGTGGTGGCGCATGCCTGTAATCTCAGCACTAGGGAGGCTGAGGATTGCTGCAGGTTCAAGGCCAGCCGAGACCCTGTGTCACAAAGACAAAAGCCCAGTGTGATGACACACACCTAGTATCCCAGCACTCAGGAGGCTGAGGCAAAAAAATCATTGCAAATTTGAGACCAGCCTGGGCTACAAAGTGAGTTCAAGTCCAGCCCGAACTGCATAGGGAGACCCTGTCTCAAAAAGACCACCCCCCAAAAAAAGTTTAAATAAAATTATCTGGTTTAAAAAAGAGAGAGATGGGGCTGGGGATTTAGCTCAGCGGCATAAGTGCCTGCCTTGCAAGTGTGTGGTCATGAGTTCGATCCCCGGTACCGATAAAAAAAGAAAGATAAAAAGAGAGAGAGAGAAAAACCATGCAATATTTACCCTTTTATCTGTAATTTATGTTACCTACCATGTTCTGCAGGTGTGTCCATTTCCCTCCATTGACTTAAGTTTTCCTTTATGGCCGCGTAGTGTTCACTGAGTGTAAATCCATTTCCTTTATCCATTCACCTGTACCGTGTACAGTGCCTCTGAGGGTTACGAACTGTGCCGCTGTCAGGGTGTATGCATGTGTATCCGGAATATGATACTTGGGAAAATACCTAGGAGAGAATGCTGGGTTAAACGGGATTTCTGCTTTTAGTTTAGTTTTGTTTTGTTTAATTTTATTGTAAAGAGGGTAAAATTAAAATAACAAAATACCAGAAGAAAACAAGAGACAGATTTCAAAACAAGGCAGCAGGAGATCTTTGTTGTCTATCATATTGTCTCTTTTGGAGGATTCTCCAAATTAAGAGGCTAGACTAGTTTATGTTCCCAACAATGCAGAACCGTCTGGTTTTCCCTGTGGCCTTGTCAACATTTGTCACCTGACTGCTTGATGCTGCCGTTGTTTCTGGAGTAAGGTAGAATCTCAGGCTTGTCTTAATTTGCATTTTTCTAATGGCCTGCAATGTTGAACATTTTTTTCATGTATTTATTAGCCATTTGTACTCCTGAGAAGTATGAATTGACTTTGCTTGCCCAGTTTTTGATTGGGTCTTTCATTGTGGGGGGTTGTTTAGGGAGTTCTCTTTTTTTCTAGATATTTGCTCTCTGAGGAACAACTTGCAAAATATTTTTCCCATCTGTAGGTGGTCTCTTGACTTTGTTGATTGTGGCTTTTGCTGTGTAGAAGCTTTTTAATTTGGTGTGTTCTCATTTGTTGGTACTCTTTCTGGTGCCTTTAGGTTTCTCATCCATGCCTATGTCTTCAAACCTTCTAGCAGATTGTTTCTGTTTTACCATTTAGATCTTTGATCCGTTTTTATTTTAGATTAGTACATGTTGAGATGTATGGGTCTATATTCAATCTTGTGCATATGAATAGCCAGTTTTCCCAGCATCATTTGTTAAAGAGGCTACCTTCCTTCCAAGGTGTGTTTTTGGCCCCTTTATCTGAGACCAAATAGCTGCATGTGCCTCTGGTTGTTTATGCATCCTCTGTTCTGTGCCATTTATCCTCAGGTCTGTTTGTGTACCGGTACCATGGTGTAGCTACATATAGCTTCAAATGTGAGGTTGTGATGCTCCTCCTTTACTACTGTGACTTAGGATTGCTTTGGCGATGTTGGGTATCAAGAATAGGTCTCTTGGGGTTGAGGATTTAGCTCAGCAGCATAAGCACCTGCCTTGCAAGCAAGCGGTCGTGAGTTCGATCCCCGGTACCAATAAAAAAAAAAAATCCTACAAGAATAGGTCTCCTTGTTTCATATAAATTTTACGATTTTTCTCTAGTTCTGTGAGGAGTGGTATTGTTATTTTGATTGACATTGTGTTAAATCTGTATATCAGCATTGGAATTAGGGCCATTTTGAGTATATTTGTTTTGCCTACCCAGGAATGGGGCTATCTTTGCATTTTCTGGTGATCTCTTCTATCTCCTTTTTTAGACTATAGTAATTTTCAAGGCAGATGTTTTTCACCTCCTTGGTTCCTAAGGATTTAATTTTTCTTGATGCTACTGTGAATGATATTATTTTATTTTCTTGATTTTTTTTTCTAAGTGAGTTCATTATTGATATACAGGAATGCTGTTGATTTGTGGGTGATTTTTGTGTCCTTCAGTAATCACTGCTGAATTTGGCTCATTCAAGAGGCTTTTGATAGAATTTTTTGATCTTCTATATGAAGAATCATGTCATCTACAAATAATAGTTTGACTTCCTTTGCTATACATAACTTGTATTTTTTTTCTCGCTTGATTGCTCTGCCTAATGTTTCAAGTACTATATTAAACACGAGTCGTGATAGTGAACATTCTTGTCTTGTTCCTGATTTTAGAGGAGAAACTTAGACTTTAGAGGGAAAACTTAGTTTTTCCCCATTTACGATGATGTTGGCAATATGTTTGTGATAAATAGCTTTTCTCAGGTTGAGATAAGGTCCTTCTATATCTGGTTTCTTCAGTGGATGCTGAATTTTTTGTCAACAGCCTTTTCTGTCATCTACTGTTATGGTTTGAAAACTGGTGGTCAACTTAAGGCCAGCTAGATTACATCAGCATGCATTAAGAAAAGATGCTCCACCTGAGGAGGGTTGCCAGGATAAATAGGTGGAGAAGAAGAGAGGTGTTGGGAGGGATTGAGGCGTTAAGGAGACATTGTGGGTTCTCCTACGAGTTGCTATCTGAGCTGTTGGTTCTCCTGGAAAAGCTTTGGTCTTCACATCAAGCATTGCTTCCTGGCTCCGGAGGGAAAGACATGTGCTGCCTGGTCTCCAGGATGAACTCATCATGCTGCTTCCTGGCACATACCCGACTGTGCTTGTCGTCGGAGGAGCTTGGGGCCTCCGTGTTGCTGAGGACAGCTGTGGTGCCTTTCAGGACAGGCCTGCTCTTTGTTGTGAGTGTGACTTCTCGGCTCCAGTGTAAAACCCTCATCCCACTAGCACAGCTCCTTCATCCTGCTGGCATAGACTTTCTGGCTTCCACTGCTGACCCTTGGGTCTTCCCGGCACGAATCCGTAAAAGAGACTGGCATGAGTCCTTGTGGGCTCTGGACTTCCAGTTGGACTCGTGGAGGCACTGTCCTGAGCTCTGAGTTTTTATCTGGACTCCTGTGGGACATTGCCGTGGGGTTTAGACTCTTGACTAAATAATCTATGTCGTTGGTGTTGCAGATAGATTTCCTGCATTTTCCTGTGTTAACTTCCGGTGACCATTATAAAAATATTATAAACTCCATGTCCTGATCTAAATTGTCCTCTGTGTACAACCCCTGACTACAACATCTACTAAGATGATCATGTGGTTTGTCCCTTTACTTAATACATTACATTTATTGATTTGCCTGCATTAAACCAACCCTCTAGGATGAATCCTACTCAGTCGTAACGTATGACGTTTTGATGGTTTGTTACACTGTTTGCCAGTGTCTTGTTGAAGATTTTTGCACCTGTGTTCATTAAAGAGCCTGCCTTCCAGTTTTCTTTTTTGTCTTAATCCTTGTCTGGTTTTGGGATGAGGGAATATTAGTTTCCAGGAATGACTTTGGAAATACTCCTTTCCTTTCAATTTTATTATTAAAGAGTTTGAGGCCAGGCATGTGGTGCATGCATATAATTATAGCAGTTGGGATGCTGAATCAGGAGGAT